CGGAGCTGCAGGGCTGGGCGCGCCGGGCGGGCTCCGCGCCTCCAGGCGGCACGGCCTGGAACGGCTTGCCGCGCTAGGGTGAGGGCTGCGGAGGAGGCTGGAAATGCGGTTCCATCGCGAGGAAGCTGCAGTCAGGACCCGGATCTCGGCTCCCCCCACCCCCGGCCCGCCCTCCGCCTTCACGCCAGCCCCTCCCGCGGCAGCAGAGCGGGATGCGCAGCTCGGGACTCACCTGGGGGCTGCGCGGGCTGGAACGCCACCGGGCGGGGGCTGGTCACCGGGGCGCGGATTCAGACGGAGAATTAGCTTGTTCTGGCCCTCAGGAAAATGCTGTGTGTCTGCATAACTTATAAAAATGCTCATTACATTACACGATCACCTAGGTCTTGGGCAGGCCATCACAGAGATATCTAATATGATAAACAACAAGCTTGTACGCTGCAGAAATTTCTCCTCTCAGACCTACCGCACGTCTTTCCCCTTTGACATCCTTGTCACCGAACTAACAGTGTTTGGTTTGGTTTTGGCTTGCTTTCTTTTTCTTTTTCTTTTTTTCTTTTCATTCTCAGTGCATAAAATCTGCCAAACGTGTATCTGTGTATCTATGTGTGTGTGTATTTGATCAATTATTTCAAGTTCATCAGTACAAAGAGTAGAACGGTGTTTCGCAGGAGTTTATGGTATACACATGAAACTAAGCAAGAGCATGGATAGTATAAACTTGGAAGAAGTGAAAGAATTTCGAAGTGGGGGAGGGGGGTAATTGCTCTTCGGAGGAAAGGACAGATATCAAATCCATCCAGGCTTTTGTGAAGAAGCCAGAGATTGGCGCGATAGGGAACTCCCCTTGCTCACACTTCCGCAGCTACGCAGTTCCTACGACAGGCAGTGAGTGCGGGCATTTTATTAAAATACGGACTTGTGGCCAACGCCATGGAGATAAGGCAAGGGTGGAGCCAGGCTGCTTCCCAAACACTAACACGTGCGTAGTCCCAAACTGTGTATATGTGAGGCCTCCCAAACACTGGGATACGTGTATATAACCCCTCAGGAAGTGGTGTGGGTGAGCTTGGAAGTCATCATTCTATGAACAGGTAAAGGAACGGAGCACAAGGGCCTGCTGGAGTGACAGCGGTTGTCGCCAGAGTGTTGCAGGGATGGGAGCCAAGAAGCTGCAGGACCTTGTTCACGGGAAGCAGAGTGGGCAAGTTTGGGATCATAGCAGAAATGTTTCGTGCTGAGAGGGGAAGGGGAGCAGGTTCACGGTGATCCTCTGTGCTTTCTATGTGCTTCCCTCATAGCACTGTCTTTGCTCAGTCAGTAAATGCTGAGCCAACATTAAAGGAATATCAGATTGGTATTTGTTATCAAATTATTTACCTGGGTGTCTACGTTCGGCCATGGGGAAGGGCACTAGGAGAAATATAAACGCAGGGTAAAAGCTGGGAGAATATAGATGAACACAGAAGGCAAATGGGAGAATCAAGACTGACAAACCCTGTGCTCACAAAATCAGTTAGAAATCAGGTAAACTAGTGTTTGGTCCCAGAGAGTGCCCCACTGCATTTCACTCTCTCAACTTCCCTGACAGGCCGACCTAACCTCTCTTTCATGGAGACCAGCGTGGCCACTGCTACTTCCAGGGGTTATCAAATTATTACTGAGCATTTTCTGATCTTTGATACAAATATGGTTTAATTCTCAGAGACACATTGAAGTGAGCATATTTAAGGAGCAGGTATAGGTAAAATGAGAGAAAATAATATAAATCCTATGAGAGAAAATAAAATATAACCTTAAACAATCTGATGCAGATTAAAATTTAGCCTGTGGACCCATAGTATAGAAGACAAAGATTATGAGAATCCAGGTTTCTGTGCCTCCTTAGTGGTGCAGGGGTTAAAGTGCAGAACTATCAAGTTATCTGCAGCCACTGCAGCATGAGTTCGATCCCTGGCCAGGGAGGCGACCCACATTGCGTGGCAGACCTCTCCTGACCCACCTGCTTCTCCCCTTAGCAGTGTATTTCAGTACATCTGCCTGTTCTGTTTCCCACTCTGTCTCTGGTGAATCCTTTCACCCCGCACCTCTTGTCCATACCCCAGTTCTTATATGCATTAATAAATAATAATAAAACTTAAAAAAATCCAGGCTTGTATAAAGACAAAAGGACATAGAGTGGTATTTAGGTGTCAACAAACCTGAAGGGTGGGCAAGAGTCTGGTATGAGAATGTCAGAACAAAACTTTGGGGAAGGAGGAAGGCAGCTAAGCTGTGAAGGCATTGCAGTGAGTGATACAAGACTTAGCCAGCTTTTTTGTGCAAGATTAGACTAAGCCCTGCATGGAAAAGCTGTACCACAACCTGGTGCAATTCAATCACAGAAGACAGAGACTTGGCCCTGGAGGAGTGACAGTGACATAGTTAACTCAGCCTGAGGGAATATAACAGGGTGGGGTTACATGACTTGCTAAGGACACTAGTCCTTCAAAGAACAGCTTTTTCAGATGCTGTGTAGAATGTGATCCCACGTTCACACACACCCCCACCCCCCCGTGACTGGGTAGGACCTCTACCCAACAGGGTAAAGGTGTAGCTAAGATTAGCTTGTCTGCCATTCCACTCTCTCCACAGGTCCCTTCAGTTAGTGAGATGGTATAGAGAGACCTTGGAAGCCAGAACAAGCCTCTTTACTCCACCCCTCCCACCATCTACACTTCTGTCAGCCAAGGCATCATTACTGTGGACACTAGCTAGAGGCATATTGCATTTTTCTACTTACTTAATGATTTTTTTCCAGTAGTTTTTCAAAACCACCTGCATTAGATAAGTATTGTCATCTCTCTTTTACAAATGAGGAAACTGAGGTTTGGGGAGGCTAACTAGTCCAATTCCCATAGCTGCCTTAAGCTCAAAATTCAAGCTCAGTGTGTCACAGCAGGTGGGGCTTTCCACCACCAGCACCCAGGGCCCAGCTGGGGCGCTGTCCGTGGTATTCTGCTTTCGGCCTTTAGTCTGTGACTCAGTTCGCAACTGAATCCAGTGATGATAAACTCCCCAATGCCTGCCAGTGACACTGTCACCTTTGGAGAAAGGTAGATTCAGACTGTTGTTTATGCAGATATTGTTATGCCTGTGTAGTGTGATTCTGCAGCCTGGTCCGGACTATGTGACAAGGGGACAGTTAATCAGTTCTTTTCAGTCTTTAAAGTGCATGTGTCAACTGGCATTCTGCCCTGATGATCAAGAGACAATTACATCAGTGCTTCCCAAACATTACTATGCATGTGAATCACTGGGCATCTTGTAAACATTCAAATTCCTGTAGGAGGGCTGGTGGGGTGGGGGGAGAGAGCTCCTTCATTTCTGAATGTCTAACAAGCTTCCAGGTGAGACCAGACCTCAGTTTGATTAACAATGGGCTAATCCACTGTTTATGAAGAGAATCAAAAACTCTGCTCCAAAGGGACACTCCATGTTGGATGGTTCCTACCCAAACTAATCAAGGCACCTTTTCTGGCAGAGTCATGGCATCAGGCAATTCTCCACATCAGTACCCTCCATGGGTTTCAGAAAATAAGGTTCACATTTTTTCCTTCAGCAGGAGGGGTGGTAATGACTTCCTGCTGTTCTAGCCCCAGGGCTTTACACTTTTGTAAATAAAACTTTTACTAAAAGTTCCTCAAAAATATCCAGTTAGAGTGTACATTCACTCTCTTGCTGGAGCTCCAGGGGACACACTCTACCCCTAACTGTTCCCCAGTTTTCCTCCACAGAGAAAATAGTCATCTACTCCTGTGTTTATTTCAAGTTCTTCTGTTCATTATAATAGCATTCCATATTTATTTACTTATTTATACCTGCACATTTGTACATATATAGTTCTAAATGTTTGTAGCATTTAACCGCCTATCCTGCACCTCACTTTTTTTTTATCTTAAAAGGAACCTCCAATTTCCCTCTTTCTTTTTCTAACACTGCATAGAAGACAGCTGTTATGCATATATACACATATGTATGTACATAAGCATAAAACATATATGCATTTACTTATTTCTGGAAGTGGAAGTGTATGACCTATGCATTGTAATTGTAGTAGATTTTGCCATACTGCTCTCCATGGAAGTCAGTTTACACTCTCAGTAGTTTTGAAAGTCTCTTTCCTTATACATACACTTACCTCACATATTTTTTTTTTAAGATTTATTTATTTGTGCATACAGAACTGGGGTACAAGCCAGAGATGCGGTGCGAGGATTCACCAGAGACAGAGTGGGGACAGAATAGGCAGATCAACAAAGTACACGCTGAGGGGAGCAGTGGGGAGGTCAGGAGAGGTCTGCCATGCCATGTGGGTCAGCTCTGGGGCAGGGATCCAACTCATGCAGAAGTGGCTTTAGTGCTTTAGTGGCTTCAGCTTTTTAGTGCTGTGCTTTAACCCGATGTGCCACAAAGAAGGGCCCAACATATTCTTAAATATCTGGATTCTTCCTTCTTTGATAATGATAAAATAGTGTCTCCTTCTAGTTTTAAATTTGTGTTTCTCTTATTATGTGTTTGAGTGCATTTTTTAAGTGCAATTCTTTGTAGGTAGGATACAAACCACCCACCTAGACATTACTCAAGAAGATGAGAGACCTTTGAGAAATAAAGAACACAGACACCGAGGGAAGTGACTAGAAGTGGGGCTTTACAACAGAGTACAGAGAAGGAGCTGTGAGGCTTGGAGAAGCAAGGGCTTTTACACAAGAGAAATCGTAACTGGGCGGTCCCCAGGAAAAGGGTTGGTTCCACGTTTCTTGCCCACCCAAGGGAGGGTGAAGCTGAGCAGGGAGGAGAAGCTGGATAGGAGAGTAGAGAAGGAAGGAAGCAGAATGGAGAGTGAGAAGGAGACCTAGAAGAGGCACAAGGAACAGAGAGAAGTGAAGAAGCAGGTCTTGTTTCCTGGTCCTGGGCTGGTTGAAACGGATGTGGGTGAGAGACCAGTGGAAAGATTAACAATGGCAGCTTTTATCCTGATTTTAATTTTGCTCTTTCCCTCCGAGAATTATCTGGCTGTGTTTGACCCTTTTCCATTGGTCTCTGACAAAAGGTGCTTTAGAATTGCCACAGGCTTGTCAGAACTTGCTTTGGGTCAATCCTGTTTGGCTGAACTTTTACCCACAAGGGGATGGGTAACTTCAGGCACTTCACTTTGAAACTATATTCTTTGTCTTCTCTGTATTGCATACTAATTGTATTAAACTTCCATTCCATTAAAGGTATATATGTTTTGTCTTGATGTGGCAGATCCTATTTAGAGCAAGCAAGTTGAGGGTTCTGGCATGCCCCTCTCCCTGCCCTGTAACATGACAATAAGTCAAGGGAACCCAACGTCCAAACTCTGAGGTTCATAGAAAATGTAAAACTTTTCAAAACGACATGATAATGAGACTATCTTCAGAGAATGGTCAACTTTTCAGTTAAGGCAGGAAATAAAGGAAACTTTGATAAAGACTTGAAAAGTAGGGTAATTGGTAAAATGTGAAATGAAGCTTATAAAAGTCGCAGCAGATGTTTTATTTACAATAGGAAAGACATGCCTAGAAGTAGATGACTGGATTAAAAAGGTGTGGTACATATATACAATGGACTATTACTCAGTGATCAAAAAAGATAAACACATGCCTTTTGCAGCAACATGGATGGAACTGGAAGGAATTATGCTTGGTGAAATAAGCCAGAAAGAAAAAGAAAAGTACCAGATAGTTTCACTCATAGCAGGAGCATAAAGGACAGGGGAAAAAATAATAATGAACAACTATATACCAGAGACATTTTATGGGGGTTGAGTGAGGAATGGCATCAAAAATGTGGAGGGAGGAGGGGGTAGTGTATGAGACTATTGTGATGGCACACAGGTGAACTGGTGATGGGAAGTCCACAGGGATTACAACTGAGATGGAAAAAGGCACAAAATGATGGAAAAATAAACTATTACAATAAAAAAAACTTTTTTAGAAGTGTGGGAGAAGGAAGCAGTGGGAGGTAAAGTTAGGAAAGATGAATGCAAAAAAACAGAACTGGGGACAGATTAAATGAGAGAACTGGTATGGGGTGTTTAAATCCTGGACAATGGCAAAGAATAGATGTTATCCTTACTAGGCTACAAGAATGTCATAAATATGTGACTTCAGCAAGTCCCTAAGTGCCAGTCACCTGGCACTAGTTGACTTCAGAGGAAGACTTTTAAGAAGCAAACAGAAAGATTGCCTCTGACAGAGTTCATTTCAGTCTTCACAATTTCGCTTTCAGAGAAAGTTCTAGGTGCAAAATTTCCAGACTTGTGAAAAAGCAGAGGCCTGACAGGGCAAAGACCTCTACACTGTGTGTTGGCATCCAAGTCACACTTGTGAGAGGGTGTGAGTGGTTGGGATGGGGAGTTGAGGTACACACTTAGTCTGGATTAAAACAGTTCCCTTGGATTTTGACAATATCGTGGTAGAATATCAATCATCCATCCTTCCAACCCCCACCAACACCCATCCATCCATCCACACATCTATCCATCTGGTCATCTATCTATTTACCTATCTTGTATGTACTTAAAATCAGCAGTTTTTTATGAATTGAAGTTCTTGAAACATGTATAAATCTGTTAATTAATCCAGACTGGCCCATTCCAACCTAAAAAAAAAAAAAACAAAACAGATTCTTAAAAAGTCCTTCCAAGTAAATATAACTAAGAATGACCAAAAAGGGTAATTAAATCTTGCTGCAGATTTTGCCTTTTATGACTTTTGGTAGGTTTCATGTTCACTTTTACAGAATATAGGAAAAGTGACTATCTTTTTCTAACAAATTCTGTGAAGGCTTTTTCCACCCTGTAGTATTTTAGCACTAGTTTTAAATAAATATAAGTAGATAGATATTTCTATTTCTCATCTTTTGGGGAATCACAAACACTTTTGTCTCAAGCTATGGGACATTCTCAGAAAAAAAAAATTAAACACACTTAGTTTTGCTATTTTTGTAAGGGTTGCTTGGGCCCCAGAAACCTGACTATGGGCCCAGGAAAGACAGGTGGGGATCAATGAGGGTCCAGTCAGCATGAAACAAAAATTCAAATGAGTGGAATGAAGTGGAAACATCCAGTGGCCATATTTACCTTGTCACGCTCCACTCCCATCTCAGCTCCATAGCCACATCATCTTGAGAACATATTTTTTCCCCTTGGATCCAATGGGAGCCTTTTTAGCACCAGAACAGTGACTGGTTTATATGCACTGCATCTTCTTCTCATTGGGATACAATCAGCTTATTGATTTCACAAATTCTTTTGCTTGATTTTCATGCAGCTGTCAGTGTCAGGATTTTTGTGGCTGGCAGAGAAGACTTAAGTGTTATTTGCATCTCATTAGGAAAAGTCAATAAAGATTTCCTAATGGAGTGACACTGTAAGTTAATAAAAGGATTATGTGTTGGCTATATTAATACATTAGTACTGTTTCCTTTGGACTTGTTCCCATCTTTATTTGTGCAATAACATTTTCTAGTTTTTTAGACTTATTTCTGTAATTTATAATCCTGCAAGTGTGCTTTATGGAATTGTACAGACCTCATATATTCATGTTCAAATTTTATTTTTCCTTAAGTATGACTGCCTCTGTACCTGGCTGCCAAGCAGTCTCTAAATCTGTATTCAATGCCTCTCAATGTTGTATGTGTTCTAATTCAATGATAGCACAGAATCCCATATGAGTGTTCTTAGCATACATCAAAAAGAGGTTTCAAATGGTGTCAAATTATTTTACTTTTTTTTTTTTTTAAGATTTATTCATTTATGCATACAAGAACTGGGATACAGGCCAGAGGTGTGGGAGGGTGAGCGGATTCACCAGAGACAGAGTGGGAAACAGAACAGACAGATGTACTGAAATACACTGCTGAGGGGAGCTGCAGGTGGGTCAGGAGAGGTCTGCCGCACCATGTGGGTCAGCTCCCTGGCAAGGAGCAAACCCAGACCCCCATGGTGGGCCTTTACCATGGTAGTGTTGAGATTCAGTCCCTAGGCAACCAGGGAGGCACCTGAATTTCTTGCTTTTAATGTCTGAATCCAAATCCAGGAAATGTTTAACAATTCCTTTGCTTGTTTTAAAAGGAGAAACAGAAACAAAAGTTTTGACAAAACTTTTTGGTCCATGGATAATCTCTGGAAAATAGTATTAGAAGAAACAACAAAAGCTTTCCTCCAAGCTTTTAGTCCTTTTTATTGATTTTCTTTTCTTTATGATCTTCTCTCAGAGGATAAATTCTATATTTTTACATTTGAAAGCATCAAAATTTCAAGTAATATTACTATTCCTTACAAGTAATTCATTTCTTCAGCTTTTCATGCACATCTGGATTGGCTGAGGCTTCAGTCTGGAATTCTTCTGTTTTTTCTTTTAAAACAAGATCAGCAGATACCTGGTTTTCTTGATCCCAGGATTTTACAGCATGAGCTGCATAGTTAAGACTGGTGTTTTCAGTCCAATGCCAATATCCTGAGAAGGGGTTGTACAGCATTCCTGCCACAATTTGGACTGAAAGACCATCTGAAAAAATAAATCACAAAGAGGAAATTTCATAAGTTGTTAATCTTCCAACTACTGAGAATCTCTTGGTAACTTTCCATATTAAAAAGAATTCCTATGTAATAGGAAACAAATATTTTTAACTATATACATATCTCTCTTTACCTTAGAACAGACAAAATCTATAAGAAGACTGCTTGAGTTAAAATCCCAACTGATACCTATCATATGGTAATATTTTAAAATCTTGGTTTTCTCAAATGTACAAAAGATAGTGAGCTGTTATAATTAGATACATGTATAAAATAACACTGTACTTTGAATTTGGTAAACATTTAATAAATGTTGTCCTCTTACTAGTAAATACCTGCCAACAAGTGATTATTCCAATAAAGCATCTTTTCTATTTTTCATTCTGTTCTATTCTCAACAAGGTTACTTTCAAAAGTCTTTACAACATGGCTATGGGCTGATAACATTCCAAATAGAATCAAGTTTAGTGATATAAACACATATGAAACAAAGCATATGACAAAGGTTAATCTAAATGGGAATGTCAAATAAATGGTATTACTTGAGAAGAATTTAACATACACATTAAGTGATCATGATGTACAAAGCAGATCTAGACATTGTAGGAAGTACAAAACACAAAACTCAGTTGCCTTCTTTTATGTGAACATTGAGCTAGAAGAAGAAGAATTAAGGAAATAATCCCGGGCTCTCCCTGGTGGCACAAGGGGTTAAGGTGCTGCATTATGAAGTGCTCTGAAGCCCCTGCAGCATGAGTTCGATCCCTGGCCAGGGAGGTGACCCACATGGCATGGCAGACCTCTCCTTACCCGCCCTCTGCTCCCCTCAGCAGTGTATTTTGATGCATCTACCTGTTTTTTCCCATTCTGTCTGTACCCCAGTTCTGTAAGCATAAATAAATAAATATTTAAGAAAAAAAAAAAAACATAAGCAACAACTGCTAGCCTGGATGTGGAGAAAAAGGAAATCTCTTATACTGTTGGTGGGAATACAGACTGGCCCAGCCTATATATGGAAAATAGGGGCTCAAAAGATTAAAAAGGGATTTTGCATTCAACTCAACAATTCACTCTTAGATATCTATCCAAAGAATACAAAACCAAAATACTAATTTGAAGGAAAACATATACTCCATTTTCACTGCAGCACTGTTTACAATAATAGCCAAGCTATGGAAATAACATAAGTACCCAAATACAGGTGAGTGGATCAGAAGGATGAGGTATTAGAATACCACACACATATATACACATACGTGTGTGTATGTATGTGTGGAATACCTCTCAGTAGTCAAAAATGGTAAACTCTTGCCAATTGCAACAATATGTATAGAGGGAATTATGATAAGCTAAATAAGTCAGGAAGAGAAAGACAAATATTAAATGGTGCCACTTTTATATGAAATATAGAGAAACAAAAGAGATAAAGTCAAATGAACAACAAACCCTAAAAGCTGACTATGGAACTGAGAGTAGCAGAGGAGGAGAGGAGGGGACTGAATAAAGTGGGGAAAGAGAACAACAGACTACTGTGGTGGGCTCTGGATACTCTGGTGGTGGATGCAATGTTCTAACACATGCAAGGAAAGATCCCATACTTTGAAAACGCAACTAATGATTTAAACTGTTACCACAATAATTTTTTTAAATTGAAACAACAACAAATGAAATAAAGTAAAAATTAAAAAGTGCAAAATGAACATAGTCTTACCTTTAAGGAGCTCTGAGGCCAGAAAGGGACATGTATAAGTTATGCTATATGTAGCATAAAATACATAAAAAATGACAAGGCAGCTCAAAATATATTTAAATATGGAAAAATTAGGGGAAAATAGTATGTAAGCTAACCTATACATGCTAAGCCCTCCACACGGTAAAGTGAGAATGTGTACATACTAGATAGACATTTGTACTTCATCCTTAAACAAATGAGGAGTAAGAGTCAAAAAGTATTAATTGATCATCTATGATTTGCATGAGGAGGTGCCACAGGTGAGAGAGAAGTGGTATCTAATATGTAATACTAACATCAAGGAGTTTTTGACCTAGGTGAAGAGATGAAACCAACATCCAAGCAGTGGTCTATTTAATCAAGTGCTAGGTTATTATGTAATTAATAACTATAGATATTTAAAAGTTCAGTTAGGCCTTGAAAATTGGAAAAATTCTTAATACTTACTAGATTCCAGAATGCTCTCTAGCTTTTCAGGTGAAACAAACTTCTCCCAGGTATGAGTACCTTTTGGTACAATACCTGCAATTTGCTCTGAAAAAACAATTCCCAAGACATAGGACAGCTGTGTTTTGTTGATTGTAGTAATGAATAAAGAACCACCAGGCTAAAAAAAAATATGTTAGAGAAATAGAAATGTCAGGGATATCATTTTTTTTTTTAGGTAAATGTTAACTCCTAACTCCTTCCAAATAACTTAATTTGTAATTAAGATAATACATGCAGCAGTAACACATAATTTACCCAGCTCATATTTTTTCTCTTGGATACTTCACCATTAAAAAGACAGTCCATTACAGTGCCAACCCTGGTGGCGCAGCGGGTTAAAGCACAGCACTAAGAAGTTAAAGCCACTTCAGCATGAGTTCGATCCCCACCCCGGAGGTGATATATGGCGCAGCAGACCTCTCCAGACCCACCCACTGCTCCCTCAGCAGTGTACTTCATTGATCTGCCTGTACTGCTCCCCACTCTGTCTCTGGTGAATCCTTTCACCACCCCTGCACCTCTGTTCTGTATGCACAAATAAATCTTTAAAGAGAAAAAGGCAGTCCACTACAGATGCATTTACGCAAGTGCTTATAATTCCTAAAAATCACAAATTATTATGAACTACTTATATACATTCTTTTGTACATATCAAATAATAAAAAATAAGATCAGACTCTTTCCCTTGTTTGATGTCCACATTTACGTTCTAATATGTCACTGCTGTTTCTCTCTGGTGCAGCATCTAATTTGCCTGTCATAGGGTACAGCTACAGAGCTTGTGCTGGCGAGCACAGCCAAGAAGTTGTCTCTGACAAAAAACATCAATGAATTGAGGTTTGAGAGGTTCTGTTTAATATTTATTTCATAAAAAATCTATGGACTATTAATATGTATACAGAATATGAAGAGAGAAAGTACCTAAATGAAAGTACCATTCATGGGGCTGTTTTACTGACTATAGTTATTTTGTTTCCTTTATTTACTACAGCGAGGATAATAATGTCCCTGTCCTCTTTTATGCATTCTTAGTAGCCTAATAAGGATAACATGCTAGTGACTCCTCCACAAACAACATAAGATATACACACACACACACACGTCTATACACACATATATATATGTTATGTGTGTTATATATGCAAAAACATATGCATAAAGACAAAGAGACAGAGAGAAAATGTAACCTGAATACAACCCTAAACCAAAAATTAAGAAGAGGAAACTCTGAAATTCTGAATATTCCTTTAAATTAAAAGCTAAAACATCAGATACTACTTCATTACACATAGTAACTTTCATTTGTAAAAACCAAGTATTTTTAAATATCTTTTTAAGAATCACTTTTGTGTCAATTATATCTCAATAGAATGGGGGGGGGAATCACTCATGAATATCTAATCTGTGCTCTACAAAATCTTATTCTAAGGAATTAATGGTGACCAGTGGTCATTTATTTTTTAAAAATATTCCCCATTAAAGTAAAAATTAGTTTCAAAGTCCTCAATCCCAGCAATCCCAGTATGTGTGAAATAACCTCCATTCACATACACTAGCTGGCATATAAGACACAAAACAATAATTAAGAGGTTCTGCTTGGAAAATAGGGGATAAGCCTAATAAAACTCATTTAAGAGGAAATATCAAGTAATTGTTGCAGGCTGAAGGAGACTAAGGAGACATGTCCACTAAATGTAATATGGAATCCTAGAGTAGATCCTGCAACAGGAAAAATTACATTAGTGGGAAAAGTAATGAAATTTAGCAAGGTCTGTAGTTTAGTTAATAGCATAAAGTCAAGGTTAATATCTGAGTTGTGGGAAAGGCTCCATGGCTTCTGCACAGGGCGAGGACTGTGGTGAGGCCAGGGTGGTAAGCAGGGCAGGCAGTGGAAGGAGGCACTCAGTCCCCAGGGCACACAGGTGTGTGGCTGGCACCAAACAACAAGATCCTCCTTTGATTCTTGTTTCTGGTGCCTCAATGGCCTCACCCTAGTTCCTTAAGGTATCACCTATTAAATATATAAACAACAACCAACACAGTGGTAACAATAATGCTTTAGAGATAGATTTATTTTTAAACATATGAAGCTACCTTCAGAGGACTAAATCTGTGGCAAATTATATAGACATAATAGCATAATGGGGAGAATCAAGAGTTGGAATCAAAAGATGTAGCTGTAAGCCCCATTTAAATGCCTAGTTACCTTTTACTTAAAAACTCAGTAAGTTTTGACAGCTCTTAAATGCTGATCTTTATTGGTCAAGAGATGCCATAATAACACCTGCCTTACCTTCCTTATCTGATCTAATCAAGTAAAATCATACGTTTGGAATACACCTCCATAAACTGAAAATTATCATACACATTACATAAGAGAAAATACCAAATTAAGTTTTGTTCATAATGATTTTTATGTTTTTAGGTATTAATCCAATCAATTTCTTAGCAGCTGTGACTCAATGTCTATTATTTAATCCAGGCTATAGTGATGAAAAAATACTGCTATAAATCTATTGTTTGCCTTATAATGTTCAAAATCAACATCTTCCAAGAAACCTAGACATCAAGATAGTGAATCTGTAAAACCTCACTGTTGAGAGCAAACTGAGAGGCAGAAGTAATCTCCAGCAGAGATGTTTCCCAATCCTGATTTCCTAGTTTCAAGAATTATGAAACAATTTATGGCTATGCATCCATACACTCAGTAGAAAAAACAAACAAGTAAACTCCTAAGTCTTACTTTTAATACTTGACAGCAGCACTGTATAAATGTTTCTAGGTCAATCACATGTTCTACAACTTCAGAAGCTACTACAGCATCAAATGTCTCTGTAGTCTCTTCTACAATCTCTTCCAGGGAACACACTCTGTACTCTATCCTCTTATCCAGGACTGGGTCAAATGATTTATGGCACTGTGCTGTTTTAATGTTCTCATCCACAGGATCAATTCCAATAACCGAAGCCCCAAGTCTACCTAGAGGCTAAGGACATTAAAAAAAAAAAATTACCCTCAAGAAGAAATTAGAACACATTAGCAATAAAAAGTTTATCAAAAAAGAAACAAGATTATCCACATGGGATAATTATTGGAGATCACTTATAGGTTCAGGAAGATTCATGACATCATTTAGTTTGTGTGTTTTAAATATTCCATGATAGAAAGCTTAACAGATAGATCTCTATAATAACTTAATAGTGAAAAAAATTATATTCTGTAGGTATATTTATATGTAAAATATAGCATTAACAGAATAAATATAATTGCAGTATAATAGATATACCATTGAAACAATAGCAAAAAATTTCTGAGCTATTCAAATTTTCTAACAAATGATTTTTTTGAGTTTTTTCTGTCAGTAAAATGATTTGTCATTGCTAATTCTTCTTTCGACTTTTACATTCAATCACATCCCATGACTTGATGGAGTTTTGAAACACAACCTAATTTTGATCAAAACTTGCACAGCATTTAAGTGAGAATTAGTCTATAAAAGTATAAATGAAATTATTTTAACTTCAGAGACATAAGGTCTGCAATATTACACCAAGAAGACACAGAAAAAGCTTACTCATTTACAATTCCATACACCACACATTTTCAATTTTAAGGGGTATCTTTCACATATTTTACTTTTCATGAAATATTATATTTGATTAAATTTAAAGCCCATGTCATAGAAACAACACATTTTCTATGCATGTGGAAACTCAGCTGCGTGTCACAGGCCTCTGTTTACCTCACTGTCACTATGGCTGTAACGGTCCTTGAGAGTGCCACATTACACTGAACCTTAATTTACATTTGTACCCTATGCTGTTTCTTAATATATGTTTCAAAAATCTTATTATGATCAGCATTTAAATGAAAAGCTATGTTGATAGAAGTATACAAAACAGAGCTGTAGGGCATCAACTTATTACAAGCTAAAGCAAATGTTCATCACAGGAAGAATGAGTACGCTTCCACTTGCTCAAAAGCACTAAAGAGGGAAGAGGCCCATCTGCAGGTAAAACTGCTAAGTTTTGATACTAAAGCATATGCAAAGGGATGGCTTATTGTATTTAAGCTACTGGAAACTGCCTAACCTCTTGGAATACAAAAATCAAAATTTTCAAAGCTATTAATTTTCTCATTTATTTTTTTATATTTTAAAAAGCAAAACACTTGTATTACTTTAATAATCACAAAAGTATTTTCAAAGCTGTAAATCACTTACTTCAGTTAACAATCCACCACCACAGCCAACATCAAGAATCTTCATCCCAGACAAGGGTTTTCCTGGTTGGTGATTGGCAACTGTTTTTAAAAGATTGTCTCTTTTTCAAAAATTCAAAACATATAAAATCAAATGATTAAATTTTTAAAAAGTATATTTTTAAAGGAAATATAAAACATTAAATAATTTTCAATGGATTAATGATGTTTTTGTAAATAAATATTTTATTTTAGGCATTAAATGGCATTTATTATACTTACTTATAAAACATTTTACTAATTAAAAACAGAAGGCTTAAAATTCTGAGATAATCTAGTAGTAATTATACTTAGTAACCTTAGTATATATCCAAAGAAAAACATTAAAAAACAATCTAGTTTAGATTAACCTAATTTTATTTGAGATATTGTATCACCTGAGACACCTATTGGTGGTCTTGCCAGGACTTTCTATAACCATTTCATGCAGGCAACAAATAGGTGTTTTGTTTTTTTTAAAAAGATTTATTTACTTATGCATACAAAAATATGGGTTCTAGATCAGAGGTGCAGGGGGTAAGAAGATTCACCAGACAGAATGGGGACCAGAACAGGTGATGTACTGAAATACACAGCTGAGGGGAGAAATGGATAAGAGAGGAGAGGTCTGCTGTGCCATGTGGGTCAGCTCCCAGCCCAGGGATTGAACTCATGTTGCAGTGGCTGGCAATTACTTAATAGCACTGAGACTTTAACTCCTGTGCCCAAACAAATAGGTCATTTTACCTCTTTGTGTAGAAGGCTTAGATGTACACTGAAGACCTGTATTTTCAGAAACTGCCCAATTCCTAACCTTTAATCTTCTAAGTTAGTGATGTTTGCATATATGGTCATGTAAACAGCAAATACAACTCTTCACTATAAACTTATTTCTAAGATAATCAGTAACACTTTATCACATAAACAAAAGTAAGTGTATGTATATACATACACACACACACACACACACAGTTATACCTAACAATGTAAACTAAACTTTTAAAGTGGACTATCTATGAGTTTTAACTATGCTTATATTAAAACAATATACATAATGAGAATTTCTTAGAATATCTTTTGTTGCAGTCAAAATTAATTAACTTCTGTGAATATCCTAGATAATGGTTTTAATGCAATGTTACAATATACAGAATACCCGTTTCAAATGAAATACAACCCATTCTTCACACAATGGCCAAAATGATGCCTTTTTATCATAAATTAGCTCATATGGTTCCCCTTCAATAGGTTTACACTATGTTCAGAATAAATGTAAACTTTTAACCATGATTTGCACTGCCATGAGATATGTGTTTTAGGATGATGTGCAAAATAATAGTGTTACAGTTGTTTGAACCGTGTGGTTCTCAAGCTGAGTGTGCATCAGAATCACCTGAACATTGGCTGAAACATAGACAGCTGATCCTGCGGAGTAGATGCTGGGTGAGAGCTGAGAAATCATCATTTTTAATGAGCTTCTACTTGATAATGATATTGTTAATCCTGAGCCTATGCTGAACTATAACAGCCTAACAGAATAAAACTTCTTTCTTCTGCCTTAGTATTTCGATGGTCCACTAATTCAAGGGAAATAAAACGATGCCAACATTTCTCTTTTGCTTCTCTGATTCTGGACAAATGAGTAAAAACCAATCAGAATGTCCCTTGAGGACAGAGTCTAAATGTGATATTCTGTGCCTACTGCCCACACTGGCTGCTTGAAAATGTCTTAGTGAATAAATAAATGAACGTAAGACCAAATGAACAATTTCTTGGTAAACAGCTCATGAACCGTGCCTTTATCTCTGAAGTATATGGACTATGTTTTGAATGCTTCCAGGTAGCTTTTACAGAGTTAAGACCTCAGTATCTATACAAGGTAAGTTCTCAATAAATATTTGCTGAATTGGACTGTCTCATCATATTCCTTTTATTAGGACTGCCCAAAGGTGAAATTCACTATACAATGACCTTGATGCCAGGGGATCTTTGTTCCTTTTCATAAGGATTTTTTAATTAATCTAGTAATTTTCCAGAAATTTTCAGGTTGATTTATGAAAACAGCCTAGAAGTTGGGTGATTAGCAGTTTCAAACAATGAACTCAAAAGAAGATGAATTACTGAGAAGGGGTGTACTTTAAAAGCTTAGAATTTACAAAATGTTACCTAATAAATGGTACCCTCAGGTCATTCATAGAATGAAGAGGTGCATATGCTCCTTGCTCATCCCACCACTTGTGAGCCAGAGTAAGGAAGGTTTTAACCTCATTGCTGTCCACAGTAGTTTGAGAAGTACTGTACTGTCTTGTCCAAGGGTACCTAAGAGGTCAAAATGGAGATCCAGATAAAAACTACCATTTAGAAAAATGTAACATGGGATTTATGATGTAGAAAGATATTTGAATTCAAAATTATTCAATTTATTAGAATAATACACTGGAAGGATATATATGTATGTGCATATATATTTACAGATGAGGGAAAATTAATTTGCTTTTGCAGTAAGTTACAATTAAATGGAACTTTATAAAACTTGGCCTTCTGGGTCACACATCATCATCACTGCCATATATTGAGTACTTACTAAATGTCAAATACTACTTAAGAGCCCCACATATATCATCTCATTTAATCCTCCCAAAATCTCTATAAGTTCTATTATTATTTTACTATACAGATAAGAAAAGGGGGCTCAGAGAGAGTAAGTATGTAAGTGGTAGAACCACAATTTGAAACCATATCTATTACTACCATCCCAGTCCAAGCTCCTATTATATCTTGTTTGAACTATTATCCAAATTTAAAAGTTGTTAGAAAAATAAGATTATTTAAGTCAGTAAAAGCTACCTAAATGAAATCACTTGATTTGTTACATACTGACAAGGTTTATTAAACATAGTGAATATTAAATTATTATTATTTCACATAATTATATAATTATTTGCCACAGCGATAAATAAATAAACCTACCTGTAATTTTTCAGCCTACTCAAGCAGGTAAAAGTCATCCTATAGGATTTGAACCACATGATGCTGTATTCACTGGTTTTACTGGTAGAGTCCTACTGAGATGGTTCTCTAATAAAATAAGAAAAAAAATTAAATGTCTACAGAAAGCACTATGTGGTATGAATCTCTCATATATGCATGAAATTGAAAAAAAAGTTTTATATCATTTTTTGAGCAGAAGAATAATTTAATCACTGAGCTTCTCAGTATTACATGGCAATCTTACATGACAATTTGGTAAACAAAAGGGTTTTTCCACCATTTTGAATTTTATTCTAAAAAATAAAGGTCTTGAATTCTGCCATCTAACTCTAAGTAGGTATTTCTGAAATCACAAGTAGCAAAAATAAAGAATGTGTATATAAACTTTTGTGCCATTAGTTTTTGCATTTACATTATGCTGCTAAGTGTATAGAAAAGATACTCAAATAAAAATTACACTAACTTTTAAGTTAAGGTAATATTAATTCTGTGACTATTTGTCAAAACTAGCTCAAATTCTGTCATTTATATGTTAGCTGCATGAAATGGATTTATTCGTAGCTCAATACCCTTTACATAAAAAAATGTTCACATTAATCTATACATTTAATACAAGTCTATAAAAATTTCACCTGCTTTTCTTTTGTATATATAAACAAAATAATTCAAAATTTAAATGAAAAAGCAAAAGAAATTAAATAACTAGAGCAATATTTAAAAAAGACGAAAACTGCAGGAATGACAATACCCAACTTTAGGACTTACCATCGAACTATAGTAATCAAGGCAGTATAGTACTGGAGGACAGATATAGCAATGGAATAGAAGTCCAGAGACATAAAAAAATTCACCCAACGGATATTTTGAAAATGGCACAAAACAGTTCAATAGAGGAACTTTTCAAGAAATAGTGTTAAAACTACTGAAATGTCATAAACAAAAAAGAAAACATCAATCTAAATCTCACTTATACAGAAGTAAACTGGAAATAGACCATTAATCTAAAAGCAAAACTAAAAAACTTTAGACAATACATGACATTTTCATGACTTCAAACTAGGTATAAAGGTCTTACATCTGACACAAAAACACAATCTATAAAAGAATATTTGGTTAAATTGAGTTTAATCAAAAAAAATTTTTTTTTCTCTGTGGAAGACCCTGTTAAGAAAATACTAATTATCAACAGCAGCTTGAGAAGAACTATTTGCAAAACACATAATGTATGCAGGACTTGTATCTAAAATATATATGGATACTATTTAAACTTAACAGTACAAAACAACTCCCATTTAAAAAAAAAAGTCAACCCCATTATAAAATACAAAAACATTATGAAAAGACATCAGTTCGTCAAAGAGGATACACAGGTGTAAATAAGCTCAATGAATAGATGTTAAATGTCAAAATGCAAATAAATGTTATTTAACACTTGAAATAACAAAATTATAGTAAAAAGAGACTAGATGATATTAAATTTGTAGGATAAAAAAAAAGAGAGAGAGACTAGGTGAGTTGATTGTCAAGGGTTCAGGCTTGGGGAGATTCTGATAACAGGGAGTAGTCACAGGCAGTTTCTTTGTTATTATGGAATAGTTCCCTATCCTGATTGTGGCGGGGATTATACAAATCTCTAGATGTGATATCACACAAAATGAGTACGCGCGTAAAGGTGGTAAAATCCAAACAGTTAACAGTAACTGCTAGCAATGTCAATTTCCAAGGACATAAGGAAAGGTACTATTTTTGCAACTTCCTGTGAATCTAAAGTAAAACTTCTTGAGTCAAAATATTTTTTATCAAAAAACCCAAAGGGTACACTATAAAATATGTCTTCTACTTCTGACTCCAGCTATCCAGTTTCCGTCCTTGAAGATAACCAGTGCTACTAAATTTATATGTAGGCTTTCAGAGAACCAGTGCTACTAAATTTATATGTAGGCTTTCAGAGATACTTTAAACAAATGCCTTTTGTGTCAATTTTTTTCTATTTTACATGAAATAGCACAATACAGTCCCCCCCCCTTTTTTTTTTAAAGATTTATTTGTGCATACAGAACAGGCCAGAGGCTCAGGTGCGGTGAGAGGCTTCAACAGAGACAGAGTGAGGAATGGAACAGGCAGATCGACTAAGTACACTGCTGAGGGGAGCAGCGGGTGGGTCAAGAGAGGTCTGCTACACCATGTGGTCACTTCTGGGGCAGGCGGGAATCGAACTCATGCCGAAGCGGCTTTAGAATCTCAATGCTGTGCTTTAACCTGCTGCGCCACCAGGGAAGGCCATACAGTCCCCTTTTATCTGTATTTCCATGACTTCAGCTATGGCTGTCCAAAAATATCTACAATAAGGTATTTTGAGAGAGATCACATATAACTTTTATTATTATATGGCTATAACTATCCTGTTATTGTTAGAATTCTCTTACTGTGCTCCATTTATAAATGAAATTTTAATAGGGATACATAATAAAAAGAGTTAGTGTCAATGCTGTCCTTGGTTTCAGGCATCCACTGTAGATCCTGGAACACATGGCTATCCTGCATGCGTAAGGGGGACTATTGTGTATATATTCTTCTGTACCTTGCTTTTTCAATCTGTTACTGTATTATGGAGATTTTTTCGTAACAGCATAAAGAACTTTCCTTTTATTTTTATTTTTTATTTATTTTTTTTTTTAAAGATTTATTTATTTGTGCATACAGAACTGGGGTACAGGCCAGAGGCTCAGGGGCGGTGAGAGGCTTCACCAGAGACAGAGTGAGGAACAGAACAGGCAGATCGACGAAATGCACTGCTGAGGGGAGCAGCGGGCGGGTCAGGAGAGGTCTGCCACGCCATGTGGTCACCTCCGGGGCAGGCGGGAATTGAACTCATGCGGAAGCAGCTTTAGATTCTCAGTGCAGTGCTTTAACCCGCTGCGCCACCAGGGAGGGCCCGAACTTTCCTTTTATTTTATGACTGCATGGAATCTCATAATTTATTTAAGCAGAGCCCTATTTACTCTGGGACAGGAGTTTGATCCCTGGCCAGGGAACTGGGAAACCAGCACTAGAAACCTTCATATGAGACTGCAAAGTAGTTCAGCATCTATGAGTGACTATTACAAATGTATAAAAGCAAATGCCATTTAAGAAGATCTTAGTGTTTTACCTATAGACACTCAAAAATACATGAAATAACTATACAATAAATACTGAAAGAAGCTGATTAAGTTTTTTTTTTTTTTTAAGATTTATTTATTTATGCTTACAAGAGCTGGGATACAGGCCAGAGGTGGGAGGAGAGGATTCACCAGAGACAGTGGGGAAGAGAAGAGGTGGAATGGTTGAAATACACTGCTGAGGGGAGCAGCAGGTGAGACAGAAGAGGTCTGCTGTGCTATGTGAGTCCATATAGGGCATCATCAAAAGTTTTTATCTTGGCTAATAGATGAAAAATAGTATTTCAGTGTATTTGTCATGAGTGAAGTTAAGCGTTATTTCTTAAGCTTAATGGTGTTTGGTTTGAATGCTTGTGTTGCCTTAAATTCATGTGTTGAAATCCTACCCCTCAAAGTGATGGTATTAGAAGATAGGGCCTTTAGGAAGTGATTAAGCCATGAAGGCAAAGTTCTCAAGATTAGGCTTGGTCCCCTTTTAAAGGCCCCCAGAGAGCTAGCTCATGCCTGCTATTAGGCAAAGACACAGCAAAAAGATTCACTTTTTGAAAAATGTTATTTATTTATTTATGCATACAAAAACTGGGGTATAGGGCAGAGGTGTGCATGGTGAGAGGATTCACCAGAGACAGACTGAGAAGCAGAATAGGAGAATCCACTGAGATACACTGCTGAGGAGAGCAGCAGGCAAGGAGTGGTCTTCTGTGCCATGTGGGTGACTTCCCTGGCCAGGGATCACACTGATGCATGCTGCAGTGGCTGGCCACAGCTTGACAGAGCTGAGACTTTAACTTCTGTGCCAGCAGAGGCCCAAAGATGGATTATTTTTGAATCAGGAAGTGGGTTATTCCCTGACAATCGAATTTTAAACATATCAAACTCCAGAACTGTGAGAAATATATTTTTGTTCATAAACCACCCAGTCTGTAGTATTTTATTACAGCAGTTTGATTGTTCTAAGTGGATAAAGAGATTGCATTTCATATCTTTCTTTAGATTCTGAACATTTTTTCTCCTGAGCTTTGTCTTTTAAATTTTTCATTTGTTTTTTAACAGGCCATTCAGAGTCTAGCCTAAATCTATTTCAACATTCTCAAAAAACATGCTATTCCCTCTTTCACCATTTTTTTTCTGTACTACCTTTTAACACTCAGTTCAAATATTACTTCCTTTATGAATTTAGAAATATTAGAAATTATATAAGTTGTGACAGATAAGGATATTGAAGGTATTATTAGGAATATGAGCCTCAGAGAGGTTAACAGTCCTCACTGTGGTAACATCTATTTCCATCTCACCTCCCCTATTTCCAGAAAATTAATTGCATGATCATCAGTATTGCAGGAATTCTCAAGAGTTTGAAACAACACCTCACAACTATGAAATACTGAGGTTATATTAATAAACAGAATGCTACTGGTTCCTTCTTTATCTTGAAACTGTGGTCATTCTGGTATTTGAGATTTTAAAGAAATATGGAGAAATTCTCACTTAATTCATTAAAAAGTTCATCTACACAGTGCCTAATAGGTATCATGCTGACAGAGAACAAAATCTCTAATCTGCCACCATCATTTACTGTCTGGATTACTCTAAGGTCCTCAAGTCTAATTTTTGCCCACCTTGGTCCTACTTTCTATACAGCTGAAAATGTTATTTCTTAAAGACAAGGCAGATTGTATTTTTCCTTCAGTAATTTCCCCACTGCACTCAGGATACCAAGTAAGTTTCAGGTGTAGGTAGCACTTATTTCATGGAATTGTCATAACCTAAAATAACCTCATCTCTTGCCTTCCATTCATCCTCAGGTTACTTTTCAAGGAACACTCCTCAGACAACGCTACAGACACTCCTTTGGCCACTCCAACTGCAGTAAAATTGGCCAATTCCTTCAAGACAGTTCTGTAATTACCTCCTTGTTCAAGGAGTTTTCTTCATTTCATTCATGTGCAGAATCTAATTGAAGAAAACAAACTTGCAAAAATACAAGAAAAATAACTCTTAACCTCTGAAAAATATAGTGGGGAAGGAAGAAGTTAGTAGGGGCCATAGAGTGAGTACTGGCTCTGAGCTTTGGTGGAGGATAAGTGCACATGTCGTATGTGTACGGTTGTACTGTGACAAGTATAGTTTTTTAAGGGAATGGTAAAATTGTATTTATTATAATCAAAATTTTATTTTTAAAACGTTTCCTTGATCTCAATGTGTATTAGATGTTCCTTTTATGTCTACCGTTGAAATCTGGCAATAGTTCTTTTTCTAAATTTCTGATTATGAAACTTGTTTACTGAAGCTTCAAAAAGTACATTAAAATGATAGCTCACCAACTCTACCACAGATAATCATTAAAATTATGTATCTCTATCCATATCTTTAAGTTCATAATGCATACTGTGCTGATTTGTAACTCACTCTCTTAACACTATTATCCTTGCCATTTTTCCCAGTAACTTTACAGACTTTACGGGCTGTACTATTTTTAACTGTACAAGTACTTAACTCTATTTGTGGGAGTTTAAGTTTCTCATTTCTTGCTTATTATATCTTCTTTCTATCTTAGCATTTAAAATAAAAGACAAAACCTTTGAGATGTCATTTGTTTAAATACTCACAGTGCCTAGCATAAGGTCTTTGTTAAATAAGTTTCATGTAAAGGATGAATTTCACTTCCTGGTTAATACTGGGGGGGAGGGGAGCAGTTAAGTAACCGGGCGTGTATAGAAGTATTAGGTTCAGTGACTTGTTCATCCTGTTTACCAAAACAATGTGCTGAACTTCTTAATCCAACAGCATTAGGTGCCTTAAATTCTTTCTGAAAAAAAAACAAAACAAACAAAAAAAAAAACAAAAGGACGCGCAAACAGAACACAAACACAACGCCATCAATGCTCTGAACCACCGGTGTCCTTTCCTTCCCGCAGAGGAAACACACGACCTTGAGCTTCCCGCAGGAGCAGAGTGGTCTCAGGCTCCAAAAGCAAGCAGCGCACCCAGAAGGAAACAAAGATCGCTGGATACGTGGCGGCGTCCTGCCAGCTGCACTCATTAGCCAGGACCACTAGCCTTCCGCCACTTTTCCTGGCCTTTGGGTAGGGACAAGCAATAACCCAGAAGCAGCATGTTCAAGCGACCAAGCCAACAGGTACCTACCGCGCTTGCCTCGCACGGATCCTACGCAGAGCCCAGCCGTAAAACGCCGCCCTTTCTCGCGCCTGCGCAAAACAGCCAGTCTCACGGTGAGCTGCGTGCCACCGGCCGTACACACAATTCACCCGCCGACAATTTATGTGCGGGATGTCATCTTGCGTGCCCCGGATTCCAGACCTAAGGACTCCTAAAAAGCGACCCCAGAGCAGTTCGGCTTACGACCTCCCAACATCGTCCCAAAGGATCCTGCTCCTTTTCCGGTCCCCACTGCAATAAGATCCCCAACATAAAGGTTCCGACGTCACTCTCGCCCGGCCTAAAACCGAATACGGTTGCATTAATAGCTGTTACTTATGTGTGGTATATTAACTCAACGTTTTTCACGCACATTTAGCACACTGAGCATGCATTTAATGTTTCTATTATCATACAAGACTCTTGTTATGCCTGTTTCTACAAGAGCATCTCAAACTTCAAGGTTAAAGTAGCTACCACACTAGTAAGACTTCCTACTATGTAACCCAACTTTTACCCCTGAGCTTTATCATCCTAGGTAGCTCTGTCTTCCATCACATTTAACAGATATTTCTCTGGGACATTTTTATCCCCTTACGATACTGCCTTTAAGCCTAAATCACATGAAGATGAAAGCACTTCTTCCCTAAAGAAAATTGCTACCCTTTTCAAGGCACACAGATATCTCACAGTTAATCAGGCTAAGCAACTTCAAGAATAATGATTGATAATGCTTTACTTGTAAAATGTCTTTCTTAGTGAAGAAAAATGTTATTTCCAACATTAAAGACCTCCCACCCCCCAAAAAAATCACATTTTCAACAAGCAGGAAGTTGGAAAAAGGGATCGTTGAATTAGTGAAATTTACTGTTCAGTAATGGTTTCTCTTATAGCTTCTTAGCTATAATATTGACCTCTTCCTAAAAGTTGCAGATTTTCAGTTGCTATGTCCTCCTCAGAGCGCCTCTCAAGATACATGACCATCTCTCCAACTGAAGGCAGAAAGCTCTGCACAAAAGAACATTTAGCATGAGTTATATTTGTTGGAGTGACAGATCCAAGGAAAAAAGCAAAGTGCAAGAATGATTAAAATTCTAAGAGCTTTATTTAAATGTATTTTCTGTGAATGAAGGACCTAACAAGGCCTCAACGCCTTCCAACTACAATTTCATTTCCACAAAAAGGCAATCAGTGATTGGCCTTGACAACCACAGTAAACAAAACTTGCTTGAATACCCACTAGTTTGACCTACATAAGCTAACCTAACACTCAATATTCTTCGATACAAATTATCAACAAAAGGCTTTTTTCCAGTGATGGTTAAACCTGAGTTTGTGTTAGAGGGACCAGCAATTGTAATGCCGTCTATGGCCTGTTATTTATCTCCCAGGTTACTGCTGCCATCTTATCCAAAAATGTGATTATAAGTCTACAATTTCTTTTGTTATGAAACAAAAACCTATGTAGCATTTTGAAAATCAGTTCTATGTTATTTTTCATTCAAGTTAAAAGCGCTCTTTTTTACGGAGTTTTTATGTTTGAAATTACATACTACTATAACCACTTGTAGGTTTAACTGCTAAGTTTTTATATTTACAAAATTCCATATAAATGGTAATTATAATCAGAATGTGGTAGATTTAAGCTATGTGTTTACAGGAAAATACTATGAATGACAATAAGCCTTTATAACTGTAACTTGTAACACATGAGGTAAGGGCTAGTAAACCCAACTTCTCACCTCAGTTTAGACATTACAAATTCTACTTAAAACTGAACAACTAAGTGCTAGGGGGAAAATATCTAATTATTTCTTTATACAGTTGAAGAAATTTAAGGCCAACAGCAATTAAGTAATTTGCCCAAAATACATCAAATAGAAGGCAGACCCAGACAATTCAATGAATCTAATACTATCTCCATTAAAACATGCTTAATACATTCTAGAAAATTCAATAAAAGACATTTGATGTATTAAGAGAAAACTCAATATAAATGTAAACATTTCCATAAGATAAAATGACAGGAACTTTGGATGTTATGTAATTCCTGGATAAAAATTCTAATATCAAATTAAAATTAAAAAAAAAAAAAAAACCTCACCTACTAATTATATATACTTCATGTGTTTCTTTCAAGAAACTGAGTAAATCAGAATGTTTTGGAGAAGTTCTCCTATTGTGTATTGCACCATTAGAAACAAACTAAAATAGACTTTTTACAATGGCAGAAAACATATACAATGAGACTCCACACCAATCTTTATTTGTACTTTGGGGCCTGAAACAAATCTTGTAATTTCCTTTTCAAATTACACTTTATTCTCTTAATGGTGTGGTTTACCCGCATTCCACAAAAACAACTAGAAATATTTTTAAAGAGGATCTCTTAAGACAATTTTTATTAACCAACCCAGACCAATGAATGTCTCAAAAATGGAATCTGTTAATTTTCCGATGGTGTCATAACCAAATGATTACAACTAATTAAGATATATGTAAGTTTTAGCATTCACATGCCAAATCATGGAAGCCCAGTTTTAGAAAATCTTACCACCAATTATGTACCCAAGGGGAACATAATTCATGACATGTCAAAGAAATGAATTCTCTGAATTTATGCACAAAAACCTGAAAAACCCAAATATCTAGTTATAACACTGAAGCATCTACTAATAATCAAACCATGACTATGTTTTAAAAAATATCTACACACTTAAATGATATGAAACTTACATATTATGGCAGAGTAATAAAACTCTCAAACACTACTTTTGGCTCTAGGTCATATGTTGCCCAAAAATGTGTATATCATAACCAACAGAACTTTTCTGTAGAGTTTTATTTTGAAAATATTATTTCACTAGAAGATTAATCTAAAAAACATTTTAAGATATGAAAATGTTATACAACTTATCTATTACAAATTATTCAGGTAATTCTGAAACTAGATAAACTATTTAGCTTACCTACATAAAAAATATTGCACATTTTCCTTTATTTTGTCTCCAGATGTGAATGATGCTTAAGCCATATAGAATTCCAAACTATTTAAAAGTTGTAAAATGTCAATTTTATAAATACCAAAACTAAATGCACTGTAAAACAACTGTTTTGGTAAACATGCATTTATTCACAGTTGATTTATTTCCTCTAGATAAATGCATAACTACTCAAATTATTTAAGAACTTATGGAGAGTTACAAGAGCACACTATACAAATCTATTTCTATCTAACATTTTTGAGGAAACACTGATCTTGGTAAAGATCTGGCTTATTTTAAAATGAACTATTGCTGGTAAGAAGGCATACTTTTCATTTTCTTTGACCTGCATCTTGTCTTTTTAAATTGAAATTTAAAAGCAGTTGTTTTCAGAGATTATCTACTGCCACATACGTGAACTTTAATATGCAAATAGACCCTGAAAGCAGATGAGTTTTTAAATGCCTACAGAGCCCTCTTTTACTCATAAGTAGTATCGACACCTTAAATTGTTAGATCACTCACCAATCATAATTTTAAAAACTGACAAAACCAGACCACTTTAATGTTATGAAACTGACACAAACCTGCATAATACAGCGTTCCTCCACTGAGTTGAGGTCATATTATACTTTAAAAATATAAATATATTGAACTGTGAGTCTTATTTCTATAATAATCCCAAAATGTTTAAAATATGCTTTTAAAACAGAAGCGGATTACTGCAGAATGTAGTTCCAGACTTGACTGTTATGTCAAACACAATCGTTCCTCATAAATAATTCCTAATGGTGCACTGGCTTGATTGATTTCAGCAATTTCATTTTACAGGAGTGAACCATACTTTATACACACAGAAAATATATAATTTAAAAATCCCCAAAAAGTTTAGAAAGTTGTCATCTGCTTCCAAATGAAAAGGTCTATTTCTGGCCCTCATCCATATCCTTAACGTTGGAGTTTGACAAAAATCCATGGGTACAATTACAAACTTTGACAAACTATTAAGTTAAAACCATTTTCTTTGGGGGGAGATGAGCGGAAGTACTTTTAAAACCTATTATACAAAATTCCAGCTGCCTTTTTATAAAAGTACGTTCCTTAGTTTAAAATCGTAAAATTAAGGTGCAAGAGGTTAACAAAAATGAACTAAAGAGCTTTATTGACATCACAGTACATTCAAGAGTAATTTTAAGAACATTACAGCTGAAAGAGAATGGCATGTTTATAGTCTTATGCACTATTTTGAAAAGAAAAATGTAATACAAAGAAATCCTATTAAGTAACTTGGAGCAGCATTTGGAAAAAGTACACCTATTTACAGATTAAAAAAAAAAAAAAAGATTCTGGTTTCACCTACACAGCCACAATGTGCCTCTATAATGAGACAAGCCCTTAAAACTCATGGAATTTTTTAAACATCATGGCATTCTTGCCACATCATTCCTCAGCGTTTACGACGGGGAGGGGTTGTTGATCTGAAAAAGAAGGGAAAAGAAAAAATTTAAAAATAAAAATGCATTTTAAATTAAAGAATCTGCATTTTTTAAATAAATAATATTATATAGGATTTCTAAAATTACTTAAGGTTATGATCAATTATCAAGTACCAAACTGAGTTTATAAAAGAGAGAGAGAGAAAGGACACTTTCAACTTTGAATAAATTCAGTCAAATTTTTTTTAAAAATCAGACAAAATACTTTAAAAAGTATACTACCTTGATCGGGACTTAGACTTGTGTTTGCGGCTTGCCTTCTTACCAGACCTTTGAGATTTCTCCATGGATCGCGATCGACTATGTTTAGGCTTCTTAGCCTTCTTTTCTTTGCTACTTCCTGGAGATTCAGAACTGCTCCTTCCACTAGAATCAGAGCCTGAATGTTTTTTACTATCTTTGGTAGTACTTTTCTTACTATCCTGTCTAGAGTCATGTCTTATGATTTTTACGGATATAGAACCACTCCTAGAGAATGTTCTTTCACTTTCTCGTTTCCTTTTTAACCTATCGTCTTGATTACTGAATTTAAAATCTTTTTCCTCCCTTTTTTGTTTCTCTTTTCTTTTATCTTGTTCACGTTCCCTTTCTTTGTCTTTCTTTTTCCTATCTTTATCTATACTCCGACTCCTCTCCTTTTTCCTCTCTTGTTCTTTAGCCTCACCTTTATGCTTATGACTCCCACTAAGATTTCCACGTTGTTCATCAATTTTACGTCTATCTCGACTCCTACTGCGACTGGCACGATTAGTTCGCCTATCCCTTGAGCGACTTCTACTTCTACGTCTCTCTCGGGAAGGACTTCGATTTCTTCTTCTTTCTCTTTCAATGCTATTTCTATTAGATCTCCTCCTATCTCTAATCTTTACTCTAGTCCTATTACTCTCTATTTTAATTCTACGAGAGTAACTTCTACTCCTACTACGTCTACCTTTAATTGTTGGAGATCTACTCCTACTATGTCTCTTTTTCCTTTTAGGAGAAGATGATCTAGAAGAAGTGCGGCTACTACCTGAGCTAGAACTGTATGAAGAGCTAGAAACAGTACTGCTAGTACTACTTGTTCTGCTATTGCTACTGGAACTACCACTACTAGAACTTCCTGATCTACTCCTTCCTTGTTTTTCTTTTTCTTTATGCTCTTTTTTAGGTTCTAAAATTGATGTAGTTTCATTTGAAGTTCTTTTCTTTTCATTAACCGCATCACCGCCTGCTTCTCTTCCTTCTAGTAGTAATAGACTATTTTGCTCTTTATGGATAAATTCATTCATTTCTTTTGTGACCCTTTCTGTTTGCTGCTTTTCTTCTGAAACAGAAAAAAAAAATTCTAAGTCAAATCTACAATGAAAAAAACTCCCACACTATCAAATTTTAAGCTATCATACTTAAGAGCAATAGTGTTCAATAGAAATAAAGTACAAGTCACACAAGAAAATTTGAAATTTTCTAATAGACAGATTTTTAAGGGAAATTAATTTTAATATTCTGTTAATAGATACATAAAAAATTATCACTTCAACTGTACCCAATGAAAAGGAATATCAAGATATTCTACATTTTTTAATGTAAAATCTTTAAAGTCTAATGTATCTTTTTTTAATCTATAACATAGCTCAAAATGACCTCAGCAGCCTTATCTAGTTAGCTAGCTACCCACCTAGACATGACAGCAACAGTCATGTCCAAAACACAAAATTACAGAATGGAGCAAGTAAGAAAAGATTTTCTTTTGCTCATAAAGCAACTTACAATTAAATAAGCAATTTATTGGAAATTTTGGGTTGCTCTTGATCATCTGTTATTACTTATATAAGTTTTTCAGAAAAGAAATTCTAAATAGATATTATCCCATTATTTCTCATACCATTATGCAAACTGTTTAAGAATTGCATTTGTATACAGTATTTTCTATAAAAAATTTCCAAAATGACATGTTATCCTTAGATTTACTAAACACAATTTAAGTATCTTAGCTACAAATTACTTCTCAATAATTTGACAAATATATTTCAAAAGGATCCTTTTTCATTTTAAGAATTTTAACAGGAAATAAAAATATATTAAATAGCTTAACTTATAGCCACTATAATGAATAGCCTTCCCAAAAACCAATAAAAATACACCTTTTATAAATATTTTTCTAATTTGCTATTATTTTTTCATATGTGCATCATTAAAAATAAAATACATATAAAAAAAATAAATAAAATACATATTTTGAATATTACTATTTGTTTTGAGTAAGTTTCATAAAAATTGCAAAAGAGCTAAAATCTTTTGGTTTCAGTTGTATCATTATACTACTTACAATCTAGCTTTGCTTCTATCCCTTGATATTTTTAAAATTGAAGCTAAAAAAAAATACTGGAAAAAAACTGAGTGTAAAAAATATACCTTCCATCTGTTTATCATGCAACAGCTGCTGTTCTTTTTCTTTTCTCCAAAAAGCTTCCTGTTTTTGCCGGATTCGGTGTCGTAATTCCTCATCATCAGTGTCAGATGACTCAGAACCTCTGTCACTCCTCTCATCTTCACTGTCTCCTGATCCATAGCCACCCAGTCCACCTGTGTACATAAAGCCCAGTCTATCATATGGAAAAATTATTCTATGCACTAAACACTTTTCATGGGCCGAGAAGAAAGGTCAATTCTTTTTTTCATTTCCTTTTCTTGGAAGAATATGCTGATTCGGGGTGGGGAGGAGTATAAATTCCAATGGTAAAGGAGTTCAAAGAACCCTCATGGAAATCAATACACAGTATCTCACTCTTTTTCTTAAATATGTCACATATTTCCCACAATAAAGGAATCATGAAAATGGTCTTGTTTTACTGTCACGCTAACCAACAAAACCATTTAACAGGGCAGTAACAAAGCCTCACTAAAGCATAATCAATTTAACTAGCTTAAAAAAAAGTTAAATATCCTGAAAATATCTCTAAAATTAATTCTTTCATTGTTCCAAAACTTAAGAGATGCCAGGTAGTAAGCTAAGTTTTTCCCCTAAAAAACAGAATACTGCAGCTAGTTCTCACTAGTACAGAAATGGTACGGAGCTAAAACTACTCCCCACCCTGAAGTGATCTAAATGGTAATAACAAAATCATATGGGCATTTGATTCTATCCATTTCTGTTGATCCTCTCTATGATTAATTTGAAATGAAGAGGAAGAAAAGGCAAATTTAAGCTTTTAATTCTTGGTAATGTATCATGCAAGTAGCAAGTTATGAGCATATTACTATATACCATGATCAAGAGAAACCCTTTCCTTTATGTTAAATTTTGACTTGCTGCAACATAATCTAAATAAAGACTATTTTGGCATTGGTGGATAGACTCTTTCCTAAGGGATGTATGCAGTAGTTTTTGAAATGAGCTTATATACTACCATAGATATATGATTTATTACAATCTACCCTAGTAAACTATGAGTTACCACGTTTATAACAGTCCCACTGTGAATGCTTTCATTTAAAAAAGAAAAAAAAAGGCAAACCTTTTAGAGACTGCGATAACCCTAACACTTAAGCTTTATAAACTGAGTAGGAAAAGTACAGTTTCAAAATAGAACATGTGAGAGACAAGGTCAGTGTGATTTTTCCCATAAGGCCCTCTCAGAAATAAGGAGAACACTTACCAAGTCCAGTGAGGGAAGCCAGTGCACTGGACTGTGCCAGCTGTTTTGCAGGAGCTTTGTATCACATCAACAACAGGAACAACATGTTAACACAAATAGCCACGATTTCATAGTCATGAGTCTATGGTATTGTTAAATCTACTACTATTGCTGCTTTTTGGGGAGAGAAGAAACATTAAAAAACATAGCATTCATTTAAACTAGTAGCACGTCTGGCCTTGAAAAACTGTAATTCTGATGTGAGCTGCTACTGTTTTATAATGAAGAAAAAAGGTTGACCAGTACATCACGAATTTTATATTTGAGGTATGGTCCATAATTAAAATTTGGTTTCAAAACATTTTTTAAAGTGTTACTAAAAGTATGGAAGGGTAGGTGACTCATTTGCTTCTATAAGAATTATAACTGGTAAATTGTGAAAACTCTGAAGTCACAATAAATTATATTAGCAGTCATACACCAGTACCATGGTATCTATAGAAAAAGTCAAGTGAAATAAATTGAACATCAAGAATTTTCCACAATACACTTTATAGAACAACAGCATAATTGCTAATATTTGCTCAGGCAGTTTGGGTAAAACAAAAATATTTGTAAAAGTTGAAGATATAGTGTCTTCAAATCTAACCTTTCCCAAAGAGTTAAAAACATGCACAAAGAGAATATTCAAATATCTGCTAGTCATTCAACAAGGACAACAAAAAAAAAGTCCAAAATAACCACTAAAACCAAAATACCCCCAGAAAAACAAAAAACGAGAGCACCCACAATATACCTTTCGTTGCTTTCCGGTGTGCATCTTTGGCTACATAATAAATTTCTTCATCTGTGACATCCAGTAGAATCTCAGTCAGAAGCATTTTTGTCAATAACATCTAAGTAATGATATTTTATATATTGTTTATAATTTAATTATGATCTTTAATACAATTTGAATTTTCAAAAAAATCCAAAGGCTACCCAATCTACAAAACATTTTTAGATGAGAGAGCAAATCCAAGAAATAAAATATCTTGAAAATATTCTAAAGTATCAAAGCTTAAAAAATTCAAAATCATACCGAATAAGAAGAATGTTATCTTTGGAGTAGATACAGAACTATAATTCTAGAAAAACATTTTTTAAATGTCCCTACTAATAAAAATTTCCATAAATGTTTTAGATTGAAGAAATTATCTCTTCATTTAACAATATTATTAGTAAGCCACATGTTTTTTTAAACTACTTAGTAATTTAAATAAACCCTCAGCTCAACATAAAATCTGGGAAGGAAAACATGAAAATGACAGTGGTTCCATTCTATCAGAAAAAGGTGTTTTGTTTATCTGTTTTTTTGACTATTTTAATATAGACCTGAAATAAGGGCTAGATTCTAGCTGGCTACCAACAGCGGTTTAACATATAGTCTGCTTAGACTCTGGCAGCTACAGATTACTCCTATTAAAATGATAATACAGTGAAATCAGCATATTGATCACTGGTCTTTCATGTGAGAAATGTAACATGTTTCCCAATCTCAGAAAATCACAGTATACCTTACAGATGTTAAAGGCTTTGTAAAGTCTCACAATGAAGAAAAATTTTCAACCCGATGCTTCTAAATTTTATTTTCTACAGTGTTTTTATATTTCTCAGTATTCAAAACACTTCAGATAAAAACAGAGTAAAAAACATTCTCTTGGTAAAACAGTTTAATTACTATAACAATATCAGGAAACATACTTACTACTTTATGAATTTTAATATTAGCATACATTTTAAAACTGGTCCCTGAGTTCTCACTTTAAAGGTGTGAAGAGAGCCACCAAGAGTATTCTAGAAATTATAAACAAAATGAATTCTGTGCATGAAAAGAAATTTAACATTTTACCATTTGATACTCTTTCTCTTCTTCAGTCATCTCTGGTTCACTTTGCTCTTCTTGAGGAAGAGGAGATGGGCTTCTGGTAACTTTTCCACTGCTTGCAGCCTCAACATTTTCTGTGTCTTCATCTTCCTCATCACTGTCCTAAAAAAGTATGCTTAGTCCAAATCATGTTTATAATGTAAAATCATTATCATAAATGTATTTTTATCCCCCCAAATTAAAGTCTAAGAAACAAATATACAGAAAAGAAGTTTCTCTTAAAATGAGATATTTGTACTACAGACTTCAATTGCTAAAAGAAAAAAAGGTATTGAAGAAAAAGCAAATCCAAAAAAAAAAAAAGTACTACCTTAGAGGAAATGTAAGGTTACAAAATGGCTTTTGAAAATTAGTTTTCTTTTCTTTTCTTTTTTTTCCCTTTGTCAACCTTCTTAAGTAAATAACCAGAAACTCACCATGCTCAGAAACTGACTTTATCAGTACTTAGTGTATAAGATGGTCCTGAAATGAGTTATAGAACTTTGGACATAAGAACCACACGTAGTGTAACTTTTACAGCTCGAAATTAAGCTATTCAACTAAAATTTTGTGACTTCAAATGAAAAACATTTAATTTCCGGATGTCAGCTGGCCTTGAAACTTAGTGAAATTTGATTCTTTTTTACCTAAATGATAGATTAAGAAATTAAATCTATTTCAGATAGAGATCAGCATTTTATCTCTGTAGGATTTTATGTTTTCAGTAGACAACATACCTTAAAAAGGGGGATGTTTCCTTAGGCAATGAAGTGTTCCAAGTTATATCCTACTATGGAAAGACTTTTATTTTAACAAGGGGGAAGAACACAAGGCTAAGGCTAAGAACATATGTAACACAAGCTAAAGGCATGTAGGAAGAGAGAGAAGATAATCTCCAATTTTTTTTTGACACTTTAACATCAAACCTGGAAACACACTGTTTAATGTAAGGACTGAAAAAAAGGGTAAACTTCAATGGTGGTAGTAGGTTGTTTCTTAACACCTAAAACAAAAACTTAACTTTGGCATGGTTCTTTTGCTACAAAATAAGTTATTTATGGAATTTAAGCAAAACCAACATCTCCCTAAATCTAATCACCATGTTGTCCTTGAGGTTTATTTCTGAAATGGAAAATGGCCTTGGAATGAAGACTATTTTCCTGAGTTGCACACAGGTCAATGCTGTGGTTGTCATACCATCTTTATCATATACACACCATTATTTGACAAAACACTGCTAAATAAAAAAACATCTAAGCCACTCATGTAAGACTTATAGATTACAACTTTATGCTAATATTAGTGTTCATATCACAAACTATGGAAGTTTTATACTACTAGGTATAGCATATACTTAAGTATTCATAAAGGGCAGATTTCTCAATTGCCATTTTAATTTAGTTTTGTTTTATAAACTACTAGCCAACACGAGAATACAAATTTGTTTGTCAAAGTGATCTATCAATCACCCCACTGAATAATGTCTCTCTGGAATAAAATGTTTTATAAGCTCAGTGTCCCCATGACATAGGGTATATGGGCAAGAGTGGTTTGATGGAGGGAAATAAAGTAAAAGGTACTCAGGGGACCTTCCCTGGTGGCTCAAGGAATTAGGTCTCAGTACTAGAAAGCTATTGGCAGCCACTGCAGCAAGAGTTCAATTTCCCACCAGGTTGCTGACCCACATGATGCATTTATTAGACCTCTCCTGTCCTGCCTGCAACCCAGCTCTTGTATGCATAAATAAATCTTCAAACAAACATACGTAGAGCCAAAAAGAGAGAGAAAGAAAAAAGATATCATCAAAAGCCTATCTCATCAAAACTTAGTTTAAAAAATTAATAAACACAGCACCCCACTTTTCCTTCATTTTACCTTTAATACCACATACCAAAAACCCACAACTCCCACATATTTACTAGAAAGTAATTTCAGGAACATTTAATACTTTTCCAGAAGCTAAAATGACTATTTCATAAGCTTCATATAGAAATCATATGAAGATTCATGTCAGCAGATTTTACTTACAAATTTACTTCTCTGAGGTAAGCGAGGGCCATCTCCACCTTCAGCATCTTCTGTGGCCTTCTTTTCTTTTTTTGACAATTGTGAACGTTGTTGTTCCATTCTTTCTTTCTCCAACTTCTTCTGCTTTTCACGTTCCATTTTTTCAAGACCTTCACGAATCCAAGCTGGAAGAGTCCTGCGTTTTACTGCATCTGTTTTAAACACAAAAAAAAATTTATAAATAAGTAATAATTGCTAATAAATGCTTGAGTTCCTTATTCTTGAATTTCTACAAACTTTGCGAATAAATCAAACGATCACCTCACTGTATCAAAAACATACTAAGATCTTTTTTACTCAGTCTCCTGCAAGTGAGAAAGCTGAGACTCAAAGAGTGATTAAGTGATATGCTTAACGTTACTAAGCTCATAAGTACTGAGACAGGCTAACTGAGAGCCAAACTTATGCTGCTTCTTAAAACAGGAAAATCGAACAGAGTCAAAAGCACAAGTTCATTGTTACACTGAGAATTCATGTGAACAAGTTTAATGTCAGGAGTTAAAAAAGAAGTTAAAGATTTCTATAAAATTGTATATTTTTTTTAAAAAAAAGATTTATTTATACATACAGAACTGGGGTACAGGCCAGAGGTGGGGGGTGAGGAGGTGTAAGAGGATCCACCAGAGACAGAGTGGGGAGAAGAACAGGCAGATATACTGAAATGCATTGCTAAGGGGAGCAGTGGGCAGATCAGGAGAGGTCTGCCACACTATGTGGATCATCTCCCTAGCCATAGATTGAAATCATGCTGCAGTGGCTGTGCCAGCTTCACAGTGCTGTGCTTTAACCTGTTGTACTACCATGGAGGGCCCAAAATTATATAAATTTCTTTAAAATTCTATTTTGTGATAAAAAGAAGACTTAAGTGAGATGGTTCATTAAGTGTTGGATTTGAGGCTTTCCCAATATAAAGTAACATAAGTATATAACTTGTCAATGGAAATAAGTTCTAATAGGGTATTTCAAAATTGAACTTTTCTATCAAATATTTATGGACAGTATATAGAAATAATCTAATGAAAATTAATTTGGCAGCAATGACCAAATAAACAATAGAAAAAGACCAGACACAAAGAATTAACTAGGAGGTTTTAAAAAGGATGAAAAGTTCATATACTGGAATAACATCAAATTGTCAACAATGAAGAAAATGTGAAGATGCTCTGGCCATCATAAAATTACCTTTCACCATAAAAACTGGAGGTTAAGGTATAAAGATTTTTAAAAATTATTTAAAACCTTGTATTTCAGACCAGTAGTCTTTTATAATTTTAAAATTCATGACTATATAATGTTAGGATTTAAAAAAAAGTCAATTCCTAACATATCAAAAGATATTAGGACAATTTAAGGAAATAAGACCTTCTTTTAAAGTAATTAAGAACTGATTCCAGTTGTGGCTCACTAAACTTAAATAGCTACCAATTTGTGGAGGCTCCTGCTTCACTGGAAGTGCAATAGGAGAACGCTGCCGATCCCTGAATGTTGATGGTCTTTCTCTTCGATTCTGGGGGGGTGCCGGAGGTCCTGGAGGTCCTGGTTGCCAATAAGGAGGATGAAATCCACCTTGCGGTGGACCAAAAGCAGCCCCATGCTGAAAGAGTATTGCAGTTTATTTTTCTTCACATTATACAATACACTCTCTGGGACACACGTGTGTTATGAACTGGGACAGTAGAAATCCATGTGTGAAGCAAATCCAAGATTTCCATGGTTCTAACATCCACTGATAGTTTGTCACCCAAAAAACCTAAGCTTACTTTTCTTGAGAAAGATTTTCTGCCTACACAAATGCTAAGAGCTATCTGAAATTCAACTGATAAATGAATTTTTTATCAATTCCAATTTTCTACTTCTTATGAACTTAAGTTGTTTCTATAATCTTGGAAGAAATACCTATTTTCAGCACAGAGTAAAAGCTACTGAATCAATACTTTTTTCCAATTTTGTCATTTTCAGAGGCTTTTCTAAGTCATTTGCCAAAATAGTTCTTTGCTTGTCAGCAGGGGGATCTATAAGTAAATGTAACGATTAAATAGACATTCCCTGCTACTTTTCTTCTTCAAAAACAAACTCAAACAAAAATTGTCAATCTATATACCAAGTATGGGAGTACAAAAAGTTCTGACAGGGTATGAATGAGGATTACTCTCTCAAGGTGAATACTATTTACATTTATGTCAATTATCTGTAATTTGTGAATGTGAGTTTTTTTCAAAATTTTAAATTATGATAGTTTATCCATGGTATCAGTCACAATCAGTTATTTCAGAATGACACCTTATAGTTTAAGGGTGGACTGTGGTATTTGTAGAGAAATGAAAGCATTTGTAGAGGAAATAAAGTCTCATTGAACAACACTATTCCCCCATAGAGTTCTATGTCCCTAGAAATGAATTAGATGCTACAAAAAAAAATTATGTAGAATTCCATTAATATGTCAGAATGGAAAAAAAAATGACACTGGAAAAAGTCAGCATTCTACTTAGAAGGTACTGCATTTAAGAAAACAGTATGTTCATGTATTCACACATTTTACTTAAGTATAATTTGTTAATAATGTATTCAACTACTGTGTATTTTCTAAACTTTATTCAATATTTGCATATACCACTTTGAAATTAAGAAAACAAAATACCCTATGGCTATTGTGCTTACACATTTTCATTTAATCCAAAAATTGTCCTAACAATTCTTTAATACTATTTTCCTAAACAAATCAAAAACCAGAAATCACAAAATCTAATGCATTTACTACTAAAAAATTGATCATTTTTCTGATACAGATGTATGTGTATCTGTAAAAGTCTGAAAAGCAAAACTCTTGATGAGACATTTCCAAAGAATGGATTACGTGCACATCTACAATATTAAAGCAACAAAATATCTTTCACCTGATAGTCAAACTGGTTCACTGGCCCCACTGCAAAATTATCGGGTGGTCCACCAAAGTTGTGATTGTTCTGGTTAAACATATGCCTGTTGTCAGGGGCAAATTCCCCACTGTCCTGACTGTTGCTGTCTTCGGAAGGTGGAACAATGTCCATTGGGCCTGGTGTTGGTGGCATCCATGGCTGATCTGGAGGGGGATGTGGGGGTTGCTGATGCATTCCCCATTCTATTTAGGATTTAGGCATAAAAACATTCAATAGGGAGTTATAACAAAATCAACACAATTTTTTTAGATCTCAAGAAAGCTAAACTTTTTTAGTACAGAAAATAAACTTATAACTTCTTGATCAAATTCCTCTTATATGTCTTAAAAATAAATAATGAAGTAATCTAATAATTTAAATGTGCTAACTCAACTCTAATTCAATCCTAAACAAGTAAGTCACATTCCCAAAGTTATTTTAACAGACTCCAAAGCAATTTTCTGGAATTTTCTATTTCTGCCCATTTGTATTAAGGTAAAATAAAAATACCTTTTATGGAGGTAATTTCATATCATATAAAATGTAAGTTATATATAATTTCTTTTATACATAAACATTTATCCTCACAACAACCCTGTGAGGTAGGAGAAATCATATTACTTTTGTCGATTTCAGAAAGAGAAATTGAGGTACAGAGATAAATCACTTCCTAAAGTAACAAAGTCATTAGAATAAACTAGGGAGTTGGGGATGTAGGATAAGCCATTCACAAACTTGAGCTTGGGAACCAAAACATTTTTAAACTTGGGAAAATATGATGTATCTTCAAGAAAGCTAAAAATAAAACCATCCCAGAGTATCAAATATTAGAATATTCATTTTGCTTAAGTGATGTTTAAGGATTAGTTTTTCCATTTTTACATAGACTAAGAGGGATATGACCTCATCATCAACAAACTCAAATGTATGATTCTTTTATAAATAACATGATGTGACAATTTAAGTCATACAAATAATGGAAAATTAGACTAGCATCATACTGTGAACTAAAAAACCAAAGAAACAAAAATTTCAAAGATAAAAACTTAGGTAAGATCTCCACTATTAGAAAAAAGGAAAGGCAGAAAAAAAATGGGTGGGTAAGGGGGGTTGAGTATATTTAACAGATTAGTTTGTCACATAGTGACACAATTTTTCCTTAATTAGAGACTCGGCATATTTTGTTTTGCCATTGCTGCTTCTGAAAAGGCCAGAGGTTGCAACAGAGAGACATAGAATGCTCTCTTCCCTAGATGTCAAGTGAGGTTTCCAGTGTTCCCAGCCCCTGTGAGCCTAGGAATGAAGAATCGAGAAAAAAATCAAACTGAGTGCCACAATGCTGGCAGACTGAGAACGAAACTAAATTTTACCACAAAATGTCAAGGTTTCTAACCTAAATGAAACTACTGATGCTTTAGGAGCATTAACTTCAAGCAGTCATAAAGCTAACCAAATTAACCTATTAAAATTAATGATTTTATTTCATAAAAAGTCTTTAAATTTGGAAAACATAAAACAACAAACCTGGCTGCCACATTCTGTTGAAGTTCGAATCCCCTTGAAAATTCCCATGATTGTTCGGACCAGATTCCATGGTTGGCATATCCTGTCCATTTGGCATCATTGCTGGTGGTTGTTCTACCATGCTTTGCTGTCCTGATGCTTCTCTTTGGGCAATCCAAGCTTGAGCCAATGCAGCCCAGTCAATCTGGCCTAACAAAATTTAACATAGCAGAACTTCGCATTTAGAATAGAGACACTATACCAGTGTTTCTATGTACAACAAGTACCTCAGTGATTCCTTGCTACAAACTTTATTACACAGTGTTACTTCTGAGAGAATGCTTACAAAATAACCCACATTTAGGCTAGAAAATGATATAAACTACTTAAGATTTTCAGAAGAGGACCAAAAAAACCCCACTCTTACCTGATTTTTAAAAAGATTTATTTATACAGGAGCTGGGGTATAGGCTAGAGGTGCGAGGAGTGAGAGGATTCACCAGAGAGAGTGGGGGGGGGGGTAGAACAGGCGGATCTATTGCTGTGAAATGCAATGCTGAGGGAAGCAGTGGGCAAAACAAGAGAGGTCAGCACCATGTGAGTTAGCAAGCTGGCAGGGGATCGAACTCATCTGCAGTGGCTGCCAATGGCCTCAACAGTGCTGAGACTTAATCCTTTGCCCTACCAGGAAGACCCATACCCGATTTCTAATATTAACTTATAAGAATTTTATCCCTCATACTTACCTTTATTGAGTTTTATAGTCTTTAATTCCCTTTTTTTTTTAACCACCACAAAAACAGATATCAAACTCACTGTTCTTCCTCCAGCAGTTTCCAATCCATGTCAACACTGGATCCTATAGACCCTGCGTGAGTACAGCAACACATCCCTACTCTTCACAGTGGCCCTTCTTGACTAGCTAAGGCTCCATTCTCAGTCAATATACATCTCTTTAAAAGCTTTTAGCTATTCTTTATTCAAAATTCATTGTCCCTAGTAACTTAAAGGTTTTCCTTTCCTTCTCAAATATCTATACTTTAAATTTTAAGGTTTAACATCAAAAATTTTATAAAATAACAGTTTTCCATATCTTATTTTAAGCAAAGATTAAATAGCTACTCTTATATATCTGGTGATATATATTGACATAATCCATCTAGAGTTCAATTTGGCAATATGTAGCTAAAACTTTCCAAATGTGCAATTGTGTCCTAACCTAGTTCTTGGATTGTTTTTCTTAAGAAGATAACTGGACAAGTAAATAATATAATGTATACAAAACTTTGGTAATTATTTCAAAAAGCTAAAATACAATCAGTTGTTAATCAATCATAAAATACAAAATTACATTAAGATTAAATTACATTAAGATTAAAAAAAAAATCTGATTAACCCAGTAAAAGTAGGATAGCACCTATTATGAAACAAAATTAGCTATGTGTTAACAACTATTAGCTAAGTAATAAGTGGGTCTAGTCTATAGTCTTTCATTTTACAGATGCTTGAAATATTCTATCATAAAGTGAAATTTTTTAATGTAATACAGATAACATACTGTGATCTAAATGAAACTGTAAGATTTTAAATTAACAAAGAAAATATGCTTTACTTAAGCTACACATTTTAAAGACTCCTTTCTTTAGAAGAACAAGAACTAAAAGTTTTTTTTAATTTTTAAAAAAGATTTATTTTATTTATTAATTCATATAAGAACTGGGATATAGGCCAGAGATGGGCAGGGGCAGGGAGGGCGGTAAGAGGATTCACCAGAGACAGTAGGAGTAGAAGAGGTGGATCTACTAAAATATACTGCTGAGTGGGCAATACAGGAGAGTTCTGCTGCACTATGTGGGTGACCTCCCTGGCCAGGGATCAAACTAATGCTGCAGTGGGTGGCAATAGTTTTATAACACTGAGACTTTAACCCTTGTGTTATCAGGGAGGCCCAAAACAATTTTAAAAATGTAAAATCTTCATCAATCATTCTATCTTTTGAGAAATTCTTCAAGGGAAATCCATTTCCTTATATGTAAGCCATAACAAGGCCAATTATGAGAAAAGATTAAATTCTGAGCATAATATGAGCCAATTAAACATTCTAATTCCATATCTCTTAAATGCCTGGCATATGTCCTGCTCACCACCACGTATATGCCCACCTCCCCAACTTTCAAATTTGACTGGTTTCCTTACTCGGATCCTGTTGGTGTTGAAATGACTGCATCCACTGTTGCTGGTTCAAAGGCCACTGCTGCCAAGGCTGTCCTCCTTGATCCCACATTCTGACGGCTAAAGTTGATTTTCTGTAGTCAACAAAATAAACAGTAGAAAGATTAGAGTGAGAATTCTTTAATTTTAGAAGCTCACACACTGGAAATTATGTGATGACACATTTATGTGATCAGAACTCTAAAATTCTGGCAACAGATTATCAGAGGCTACCGAAACTTTTAGGCTGGCAGGAGTAGAAAAGTTCATGTTACTGCTAATGTCACAGTTTGGTCTGTGGGAAGCACAGTCCCAAACAATTTTGCTCAATAAAGGGAGGAAAATCCATTTTTTTCCCAGTGTAAAACTTTAGAAATATAATTTTGAGATCATTAAAAGAAAAGGTGATTTAAGGCTGTTTTTAAATCCTCACACTTCTTGAGGGAAATCAAATAACTCCTCCTCAGAAGGAAAACTCTTCCTAATAAATAATCAGTTAATGAATGCAGAAAGTAAAATAAAATTTTTAGAACTGTCATACTGCCAAACTAATAAAATAACCAATTCAGACAATCTTCAAAGAAAGCTGATGGAAAATCAAAAATTCTAGGGATGCCAAATTATCAACCCTAGAAGTTAGTAAGTACCTCATGAGACAAAAATCATGCTCCCCGAATAACTATCAATATTTTCACCAAAACATTTTACTGAATTCAACAGTTTCTGAATCACAGTTTCAGTATAAAGGAATTCAGGAGACAAAAGGAACAAGGTAAACAATGTTTAAAAGCAATAATCACACAATTTCAGCAGGTGACAGTCAACAAAACCAGGTTTCTTAACATGTAAATAGCACAGAAAAAGGATAAAACCGTAGTAACCATTAAATATAAGTCCCAGGTTAAGGAAGGGGACCTATCATGCCAAAGAACTTTTCTGTAGTTTGAAAACTTTTCTAATAAAACATTTTAACGTATAAGCGTAGTATCTTTGTACTTTATTCAACACTGCTAGACAACCCTGTTCAAGAACCAAAGCAAAGTCCTGCATGGTAAACAGAGAATGTTTCTTCATTTTGTACCAGAGTTTTAGCATAGAGCAAGGGACTCGAAACAGATTTACTATCTGTAATCTTGGGAACCTATACAGCATTATAAACTAATTACTTCAATCAACTAGGAAAAAACACAGAAATATTTACTAAACAAATCCTTCTAAAAACAGGACAAAAACAAGTCTTGGTATTGCAGGATCACAAAAAGCAGAAAAGTGAGATAACAAGGTAAGAGACACCAACTCAAACAGAACAATTGACTATAACAATTTAGGATCTGACTCCAATCAATGGCAGATCTTGATCTCACAAAGAATTCTGTGAGTTAGGGAATATGCATTCCTTTGCCACCGTGATTTACAACAGTCCCCCTTACCTGCCGTCTTGTCTTCCAAAGTTTCAGCCACTCAGGGTCAAATATCACATGAGCACAGTATGATACTTACAGAAAGGTACCATATTTACATAGCTTTCATTACAGTATATTGCTCTATGTTCTTACTGCACTGAATGTGCAAGTTAAATTTTATCATAGGTATGTACACATAGGAAAACATAAGAGTATATACAGAGTGCAGTACAATTCATGGTTCTAGGTAAGCCCTGCAGGGTCAAGGATATCTTAGAACATATCCTCACAGACAAGGGGACTACTAAATTTGTAAGTCAAGTGTACTTATCTTCTAATTGAAATAATATAGTTCATTATAATGGTTTTATTAGAATATGATGAAACAGTCATTAAATAACACGACTTGACGCCAAGAACTGGACTGGGTATCAGTTTCAAGATAAATACACTTTTTCTAATCTCTTCTCAGATATTTTTTCATCTGCCACTCTTGTCCTTCTCATTTTCAACTATACCCCTAAAACTCTTTTAAAATATCTTCTAACTTTTAAAGTTCATAAAAAGTAAAGAGGTGGCCCTCCCTGGTGGCGCAGCGGGTTAAAGCACTGCACTGAGAAGCTAAAGCCACTTCCGCATGAGTTCGATTCCCGCCTGCCACGGAGGTGACCACATGGCGTGGCAGACCTATCCTGACCGGCCCGCTGCTCCCCTCAGCAGTGTATTTCTGCCTGTTCTGCTCCCCACTCTGTCTCTGGTGAAGCCTCTCACCACCCCTGAGCCTCTGGCCTGTACCCCAGTTCTGTATGTACAAATAAATAAATCTTTAAAAAAAAAAACAGTAAAGAGGAAATGCCAATTATTTTGATTGATCTCAGAGGGTTACCTTTGTTCAATAATTAGGTTGATTCACACTACAGCATGGAAACATATCAGCAAGATTACTTATGCCCTGAAAAAAAAGAGAGATTTGTCTCAGATTAGGAAACTAACAGAAGTAATAAAAATAAAATCTATAGATGCAACATAAAAACATGACTATCTCCAAATAAATTTGAAACATTTCTTCTGTTAATTTTAAAATGAGCATTATTTACTATTAGAAGGAAAACAAGCACATCTGATCTTATTCTTCATAATATATAACACAAGCTTTTAAAACATTTTTTTCCTTTTGAAATATTTTTTTAAAATAATTCATTAACAAAACAAAACAATGTCAATAATTTGGGTTGTCATATATGCTGAAGAAAAAAGAGAGAAGAAACATTAAAAAAGATTTCATCCACCTGTTAACTCTCATGGCACAAACAAGACAATAAAATGCATTAAGTTTTTTTTATGGAATTCTAAGCTTAAAATTTAACATCAGCAAGGTGAGGACAATTTGTCCTTCAGTTCTGTTTTCTTTCCACTGGATCACAGCTTTTTAAGTTTGATGAGAAGATAAATTTATCCTTTTTATTTACCTAGGTACAGGACAACTTCTTATATATAGCAGGCACTAAACAGCAAATGAACAAACAGGCTATGACTCCTTTCTTCTGTTTATTTTTAAATGTTAATGATAAGGAAGCTACTGACCTATATTTATGAGGACCAAAAAGCTGACAAAAGTACAACTTGCTGTGTTTTCCAAAGCTCTTAGTGGCCTATCATAGTTCACTGCAGATCCTAGAGGTAGATTGAAAACTCATACAAAGAAGGCACTGTCACCAGCTCTATATGCCAACTGTAGATGCAAACTGATATGCACTTAGTAAAAACACCTGAATGATGAAGATGACATGTACTGACTCCCTACCATCGTTTCCAATACATAGGTTTACTTTTCTAAATATACTGAATAAAATGTTCTTTTTTTATTCATGTTTATGGAGCCTACAAACAACTGTTCTTCATCCCCCTTTTACATTTTCTGGTCATCAATTGTTCCCTTGACTTCAGAGAAAAAGTTTTGGTTCATACACCTACAAGAAACTTTTGAGTATAAGGACTCAAAGTACACTTTAACCCCTGGTTTTCTCATCTGTAAAATGGAGGACATAGTAAGTGCCTGTTTCAAAGGATTACTGTTGAGGATTAAATGAGGAACACATAAAAACAGCACAGGAAATTTCACAGCACTCCTCAAATTTACAACCCAGGAGGGAGGTTGATCAAGCCAACCCATCTACTCAAATCCATTTTCTTTTTTAAAAACATTAAGACTTACCCAGATTTCATTTTATCTTCAGAAAAAAATCTTCCTGTTCCTATGCTGTATTGGGTAGCAGATTTTATTATTAAAAAAATAAAATTCAAAGCTTTATGTCCAAAGCTTTTACTTTTATATTTTCAAGAATATTGATTTGTATTTCTTGCAGTCATTTTTCACCTTATTATAAACAATCACTGCCATTTTTACTGTATTTTCTAAAAGCTCTCTCCCTCCCCTCCCCACACAAAGTTTTTATGGGAGCTACTCAAATATACTATTTGATACACCTAGGCTGAGAACAGTAACAGAAAAAAACTGTAAAATTATAAGCAGCAGAGCAGAATAACAACATAGCAAAGAAGTGAGGAATTATTAACAAAATGTTTCATTTAAACCTGCAGTGGAGAAACTTGACTACAAAAGACCAAACAGTTAAAGACTTTTTGGAAGACAATTTAGCATTACAGCATTTTATCAAAATTGTCAATGCCCTAATCCAGCATCAATTTCACACACAAACTATGTATGTGAAACTTTGGAAGCAGAGTTTCTGTAGTTATAGTCAAGTCAAGGTTATACTGGATTAAGGTAGATCCCCATCTAATATGATTATGTCCTTATAAGCAGAGACACAGACACACACAGGCAGTGTGCCGTGTAACCACAGAATTGACTGCAGTGATTTGTCTACAGTCAAGGGAGAGCCAAGGAAGGAAAGAAGCATCCTTGGGCACTGGAAGAATGGATGAGAGTGAATATGTAGAATGGCCTTCCTGAAACCCTCACTTCAGACTTCTCATCTGGAGCTCTGTGAAGGAGTAAATTCCATATTTTATGTTATTCAGTTGGTGGTAATTTATCACAGTATTCCTACCATATTAGGAGAGCCAGAAATGTACATATTTATTCTATCCATTTTTTAGATGGCTCTTTTAAATAAGCATTTGTTGAGGTAAACAAAACATGGACAAGGATGAAAATTCAGTGTTTAAAACCCGTAAGCATCAGTTGCAAAATTAAAGGTATAGAATCACACCAATTATTTCATGCAAACAGTGAAATGTTTCTCACATTAATCACAAAGTTTAGAAAAAATCCAGAAAGCCTCTTCTCCCTTGGCATTTCAGTCCTCCACATCAGGTGATGGATTTCAAAGTGGAAAAAAGAAAAAAAAAAAATCACATGTTCAATTCAGTTTCAGGTGGAAATAACACTAATAAAGGTTAATCTTGCAATCATTTGGAACAAAGTAAAAAAGGATTTTGTAATGTGATGTGAAATGCATTTTAGTGTATAATGAAATACTTTGCACCTTGTAGCTCAAGCAACGTATTAAAAAAAAAAAACACCACTGAAGCTTACTTACAGATGTTTTAAAAAAAGTGGTGGAAAAGAAATGCAGAGTGCCTAAAGGAAGTGACACCTCTGTAGCAACAAGCACATTAATCTTGGTTCTAATAACATTCTTCAATCAAAAAAAAAAAAGAGAGAGAGAGAGAGAGAGACAGAATCTTTAGAGAAACTGCTGATCCCATAGACGGGACAAGAAATATACAAATGAGTCTGGAGTTACTTATAGTTATCAGGAAGTAAGAAAGTGCCTTCCCTCTCTCTCACCAAAGGGGGTGTGGCAAGCTCTCCAAAGCTGAACAATCTCAGAAACAAAGCAAAATAGTATTGGATTACAATATGAATTAGGACACAAAGATTTGATTTAAAATTTCCCGTGCAGAGGAACTGTATGTAAATTATGTGGATACTCCATCCTCAAGGAAGGAGAACATGAACTGTCCAGTCAAGTATGCAGTACACAGACTTCTTTCTGCAGACCACAGTATGGAGAGGAGGCAGGGGGGAGTAATCTCAGCAAACACTACCTCAACAGATGATGTTAAAAGGTTAACATCAAGTTGATAAATCCCTTTGTAGTATGTACCCTTAACAGGATTTAATGAAAAACGTACTTTGCCTCAGACCTGAACATCAGTCTTATGAGAAAAACATCACAAACTCCAAGAGCAGAGCACACTATAATATACCTGACCAGCACTCCTCAAAACTGCAAAGGTAATGTATTAATTTGCTAGAGTTGCCATAATAAAGTACCATAAACTGAGTGCTTTATACAACAGAAATGACTTGCTAGCAGCTTTCAAAGTAAGATCAAAATGTCAGCAGTACAGGTTTCATTCTAAGGCCCCTCTCCTTGGCTCCTACATGAATATCTTCCCCATCCCCCATGTCTCTACCTGATGTTCCCACGGTGTCCTAATATTCTCTACCAGTCATACATATTAAGCCCTACCCTAATGACCTCATTTTACTTCTCTAGAGAGCCTATCTCCAAATACAATCATATTTTGAGGTGCTGATGTTAGACTTCTTATTTTGAAGGGTTAAAATTCAGCTTGTATTAATCAATGAAATCAAGAAAAGCCTGGGAAATTGTCACAACCATGAGAAGAGACTCAGGATACACGACAACTAAATGTCATATAACATCCTAAATGGATTCTGAGACTGACAAAGGACATTAGACAATAACGTAGGCCATATGGATTATGTACTTAAGTTAATAATAATGTGTTAATATAGGCCATTAATTGTAACAAATGCACCATCATAATTACTGGTAATAATGGGGGAGAGTATATACGGTAAGTGTACTATTTGCTCGATTTTCCTATAAATCAAGTGTTCTAAAGAATGAGGTACATTAATAATTCTTTTGAAACAAAGTCTCAAAAACATCTTAAATTACTGTCTGTTGTTGCTTTCCCTACAGCCCATAACACTACAAAACAGTGCTGGTGGTGAGTCTTTACTGTTCTGGTTTGTTTTGAATTGTTTTTGCCTTGCTACACTTAAAGAAATTCCAAGTTTATTTTGCTCTCCTACGAATTAACCAGGGAGAATGCCTATGTTGTTCATATGACAATAATAACCATCATGGGATAATATGATTAAAATAGTTCCCCCGAAACCTAACAAACATAAAATGTCCATTAAGTAAAAGAACACAAGAGAAATACACACGAAGAAATCTAAAGGTAATTAACAGAATGCATGTCCCTTTGGCTGCGCCTGCGTAGTGGAAGCTGCACAGCACAGAAGGTCCAGGTCCGGGGCCCCCGCCTTCTCCGCCCCTCAGTACCCCTCCCCATAAGGGGGTTCCCACTGCGCAGGCGCAGTGCTTAACGGCCAGTCGGGAGCCCAACAATTAGTCCCTTCTCTTGCGAGAAGAAACTCTCATAGTTAGAGGAAGGGGTCGTGAGTATTCTCTGTAACAGCAACATTTCCTTTTTCACCTACAGCACCGCTCTGATTCACAATCAGGAGGATGCCACTGTTTCACGGGGATGGGGTTCCAGCGGTCGCGCCAAACAGCGTACGCAGCTGATGTGTTTGTTATGTTACCTTCGGTACAGAAACTAAGGAGATTTTAATGGCCAGGCAAGTCCCCACGCGTAATTGTTCTCTGCTACTTACCCACTCTGGTTCCGGAACACGGTTGTCGCCACCGTTCCTGTAATGCTTCTCCTACCCTTTCGATGCTTCTACTTCTTCACGAACAAGACAAGATGGCGCTCGAGTAGTCTCACCCGGAAGTGAATAATAATATCCGCTAGTCATCTGAAGCCATATTGACCCCCATCCTGGTCTTTGAGCACGTGATTGTACTTGGGTAACATGTTTCGACGCCATTTTTGATATGGGCAAAACCGCCTCGACTCCGTAGTCACCGGGTAAGTGAACATTCCTGTACATTGCCTCTTCCTGGAGCCAGCGTCATACCCAGCCCACTCGCATCTTTACAGTAGGCTGAAAGCCAAGAGGTTTAAGTATTCTGCATGGGACACCGTCAGTTTTTTCTCTATAGCAACATGATTCTCCTTCAAGAGGAGGTATGTTCTCCCACCCTTAGGCTCTCATTTCAGAAAAGGGACTGAATTTGCGGCGATACTTTCGAACTACGGAAGGGCCTCAAGGTCAAACCGAGTCTGCACTGACGGACGCTCTAGACGCCGGGAATGGTATTTCGGACGATCCAGGGTCCAGTCTGAATTTATGGAATACGTCAGCCGTGGCTCTCAGCGCCGCCGGGTGCGATGGCACTGGACGTTGGTGCAGAATTCAGTCCAGATGGTAGCGATAGCGAGGACCTTAGCGCACCCTTTAGTAGCTTTTTAACTTAAAATGCCCCTTCTCGGGTACGCTGGCTCCCCATGACACACCCAGCTTGTCCCCATATTTCGTTCTTTCTCCGCGACCCTTAGGGAAAGTGGCGGGGAAGTGCAGTTTGCTTCCTGCTACTGGTTTCAACTACAAGATGGCCTCCAGAATGGATTTATGCAGTGTAATTTCTTCGAATGGGATACTTTGATTACACAATGTTTGAGTATGAACCACCATCAAGTGTCAAAAGTGTCGATTTCCAGGCCAGGAGCTACGAGTTACAAGGAAAACAAAAATGGCCTAAAGATAAAAAATTATTTCTCAAAGTAAACTCTGGAAAGCACCTTTCTAGAGGGGAACAGGAAACTTGTGTAACTGAAGAGTGACTCGGTATTTAAATTGTTTCCTTGGGAAGTGTGCAAAAGTAGTAGAAATTACAGTAGAAATAAAATACTAAGATTACAAATAGATGCTAAGGAAAAGGAAAAATATCAGTATAGGTATTTAAGGGGAAAGTTAGTTTTTCTTCAAACACTTGAAACGCAGTTAGTGCTGGGGAATTAGCACATTACGAATGGCCCTGCAACTTTTTGTGTAGAATCCGATTTTCAGATTTCTTTTCATGAAAAAGTCTACTTAGTACCATTTTGTCTTATCTGTGAAACACGATTTCTCTAGTGAAACCAGGGGGCATATTCCCTTTAACCATTTTGTAATTGTTTCCCTAGTAAAGTTGAAGCAATTTTCTGATAGCTTTTTTTTTTTAATCTCTGGCTACCAAACTGGTCAGCAAATTATTTACTTCACAGCAGCTTTGCATTTCAAAAATGATTGAATTAATATTGTGAAAAACGACCCCAATATAGGCCGACTGCCCACTACCAAATATGTTGTTGTTGTGCCAGTTTGAGATACTCCCACACACTGCCAGCTGACCCGCTAAAAAATAAAATTTTACAATTCTGTGTCCCCTTTCCCTTATCAGTATCATCTAGGGTTTCCCTGTAAGATTACTAACTGAAGGAGATGTCAGACAACTGCCATTGGCTTGAACAGGGGTTTAAGTGCACGAGTAAGTAAACATTATTTAATTTCACATACCTAGGAAAGGAAAACTTTTAACAAAGTGGAATAGCAGTTGATGGGGGTTGGAGGAAGAGGGAAATAGGACTATCGAGGTGATGTTTGCACATTGTGAATGTACATATTACCCTGAATTGTAAACCTAAAAAGGCTAAAGTGGTCAATTTTATATTGCATATGATTTAGCCAAATAATACAATGGAAAATGAAAAGTATTTAAAGCTAACAGACTACAATTAGTACAAATTACATTTCTTTAATTCTTCTAGAAAGTAGACTACATGGTTTAATGAAGAATGAGAGTAATAATAATTACTACAGTTATTTAACTATTAATCAAACTAGCCTTTATGCAGGCAAATGGCCATGTGGGCTATACTGGAGCAAGTAAACAATAAAAACACTGGCATATTCTTACCTAAAATTGTGATTCAAATTACTGTTTCAGAACTTACTTCATTTATATGGTGTGATGTACTACATTACTGATCTTCCATATCTGATTCTCCACACTTATTTTTTTATTAAAGATTCATTTATTTATGCATACAAGAACTGGGATACAGGCCAGAGGTGTGGGGGTAGAGGGGTGAGGGCAGGGGAGGGATGAGAGGATTCACCAGAGACAGAGTAGGGAGCAGAACAGGCAGATTGACTGAAATACACTGCAGAGGGGAGAAGTGGGCTTGACAGGAAAGGCCTGCCACGACATGTCGGTCACTTCCCGGGCTGGGGATAGAACTGATGCAGTGGCTGCAGATTACTTCATAGTGCTGTGCTTTAACCCATCACACCACCAAGGAAGGCCCTTATTTTTTTTTTAAATATTAATTTATGCATCGAAGAGCTGGGGTGTAGGCCAGAGGTGCAAGGGCTGGGGAGGGGAGAGGGGTAAGAGGATTCAGCAGAGAAAGAGTGGGGAGCAGAACAGGGAGACCTGCTGAAACACACTGGGTCACCTCCATGGTCAGGAATCAGACTTACCACAGTGGCTGCTGATAGCTTCATAGTGCTGCAATTTAACCCCTTGAGCCACAATCCAATTGTTTTCAAGTCTTAACTATTATAAATTGTGCTGCAGTAAACTCAGGAGCACACGCATCTTTTTTAAAGTTTATGTATCCTTTCGGTAGGTCCCTAGGAGTGGAACTACTGGGTCATATGGTAGCTCCACTTTTAGTCCTCTGAGGAACCTCCACACAGCTTTCCATAGTGGTTGGACCAGTTTGCATTCCCACCAGCAGTGCAGGAAAGTCTCTTTCGTGGCCTCCTCACCAACATTTGTTGTTGCTAGTTTAGTATGTGCCTTTCTTACTGGTGTTAAGGTGGTATCTCATTGAGGGAAATTGAATATTTTTCATATGTCTGTTGGCCATTTGTATTTCCTCTTTGGAGAAGTGTCTTAAGTTCTTCTGCCCTTTTTTTTAAAAAAAAAAAAATTTTATTTATGCATACAGAACTGCCTCTACAAGTCAGAGGTACAGAGGCCATGAGAGGATTCACCAGAGACAGAGTGGGGAGCAGAACAGGCAGTACACTGCTGAAGGGAGCAGTGGGAGGGTTAGAAGAGGTCTGCCACACCATGTGGGTTACCTCTGGGGCAGGGATTGAACTCATGCTGAAGTGGCTTTAGCTTCTTAGTGCTGTGCTTTAACCTGCTGCACCACCAGGGAAGTCCCTGCCCTTTTTTTTTTTTTTAATTGTATTGTTTACTTTGTTTTTCTTATGTGAGTTGTGTTTCTTTGTGATTAATCCCTTACCAATTACGGGAGTGCAAAAATCTCCCAATCAGTATTGTGTGTCTGTTTTGGTTAATGTCTCTTTTGCTGCACAGAAGCTTTGTAGTTTGATGTAATTCCAGCTGTTTTTCTTTTCCCTCACTTTCTTTGCTTTGGGGATGGTTCTTTTAAAGATGTTACTGAGATGTGTGTGTTGTAATGTGTTACCTATGTTTTCTTCTATGTATTTTATGGTTTCAGGTCTTATGTTGTTCTTTTATCCACTTTGGGTTGATTTTTGTGGCACAAGATCTTTTAGTACTTTCTTGCCCTGCCACAGTGGGGAGGCCTGTGTTGAAATGATGTAGCCACAAAACTGAGTCAGCCTGAGTTACCAGTTGTAAAAGCCATTGCAAGACTGACCAGAGTCAGGGTCAACTTTGAGTGAGGCAGAAAGACTTTTGTGTTAAAACATTGGCATGTGAAGTTACTCGTTATTGCCATAATCCTGTCTATCCCAACACATACAGATATATAAACATTTTGGATATTTCTGTTTGCGTGCAACATGAAAATGCCCGCAGTGGGGCCCAAAAGTTTCCAAAATCACATAAAAAACTAGCAACATGTATTTCTCCAAGAACAAGATTTCCCTTCTTACTCTCTGTATTGTCATTGGCTGAGGTGAACAGAGTGCCCCAGAATTAGCACCTTCCTTCTTACCCCAACACTCATGGCTTTCTTTTGGGACTATCAGAGCTAGTATTACACCTTTTATTCCTAAACACCCTTCATCCCCTGGTCCTTAATTCCCATGTGGCTCTGTGGATAATGCTCCTTGATTTTTTTCTCCATATAATTTATCATTTTATGTATATTTTCCTTAATCTTCACTTCTTAGATTTGATCAGTGCAATATCCCTATTGACTACCACACAGCAGATAATTAATATTGTTTCTCACTATAAAATGTGTTCTATAGCTTTCATCATACTCTCAAAGTACTTCATGACCCCCCAAAAAGGTTAAATAATAATAAAAAAAAATCCAGGTAGGTAGTGCATTTCCTCATGACCGTTCCTGCCTAACAACATAAAAACATTTTTAGAAACACATGAAAGGGTAAAGAGGCAACCTTGGTAGATGCTCATACCAACGTCTGGGTGAAACTGACCTGTAATAAAGTATTTTGTTTTGAAATAACAAACTTTTTAAATAGAAAGGATATTTTAAATATAGCTAAGGAAGCAAGTAACAGTGCTGATAAAAGTCTGTCAATGTGCATTGCACAAACTCCAGGATCAAATAATTTTGAAACAAAGTAAGAATTTACTATTTATTATGCAGTTTATATAGTAACATCAAAGTATACTCATTAAGTTACATAGCCACTTTCTAGAAACACTGCAAAAAAGAAAAATCAGTAAGAATATTATAACTGTTACTGAAAATTTAAAATATAGTCATCTATCTTTTAAACAGATTTGAATTGATAATTTCTACATGAACCAAAACATTTTGATATCTAAAAATAGTCCTTCTCAATGCACTAGATAATATATAAAGGCTCAGTTTTATTGCACATACTTACACATTTGGTTTAGGCTTATTGATCAGGTAACATGCAGACAATTATGAATATGAATTTAAGAAAGATAGGCAGATAACATTTTATACTACAAAAATTAGGTGATACATTTCACAGCTTAATCTTCAGGAAATTCCATTCAGCTGTTGTATAAAATCACTGACTACACTCATCACACATGCAAGCTAAGAGCTATTAAATATACTAGAGTAAAATAGCCCTGTGGCACTTTAAAATAAGAAAACAGGTATCAACTCTTTGAATTGACAACAACTACAACTCTCCATGGCCACCCAAGAAGGTAGTCTTCACACCAGTTTTAAAAACATTAAATGACAAAATCTTAAATATAGTCATATGTTTGGTTATGTCAAAATATTCATAGTTATTTTAAATATGGAAAAACTAGAGGAAGCTGGGATTAGATATACCCTGTAAACCAGTTTCTAAATAGAGTTTGTGAAATCTTACTTCTGAAATTCATTTGGCCAAACAACCATGGTAGTTGTGTTGATCTGTAAACATTCTCACTTATTTTGCACTGTTTCCTGGGGTCATCTGGAAACTATTGCTATTACAGGAGCTTTACAATTTAGTACCTCCAAAAATGTGCTTTGGAAATACGAAAATAAAATAAAAATAAAATTTAAATGTAGACCCATGTGTAACTTAACATGCTTTATTACAAAACTATCATTAGAAAATTCTGTTATCAAAATCTACTTTCAGAAGACAGGGAAAGCATTCACAAGCTCTAGGCCATAAAAATTTTTTTCAGCATTAACACATTTTACATTGTGGAAAACAAAATAAAAGTATCTTACTTGTATTTACATTTAGCCTAATGTCTAAAATTTATATAGGTCTCTCTACTTTAAAACATGTTAAAACGGTGTCAGCACAGTGTCTGACCCATAACAGGTGTTGACTAAATACATACTTCATGAATAAATGTAAAGTTAAGCATAAGAAGTGTAGTACTTGAGTGCTGAGGTAATTTTCTGAAGCTACAATGTGTTGCTCAATGAAAAATCAGTGGTAACCTATACTTGGAATAAAGCTAAAGAGCTTCCACTTGATAAATACAGCACTGTTGAGTTTCCTAGCAGTCTATTAATGAACATCAGTGAATTCCATCACTCACTGTCTATTTGGTTAAGGAATAAATGAAGGAGCAACAGAAAAGAAGGCTCTTGTTTTTTTCCCCTCTTTTATTTCATCTAGCTAATAAGCATGTGATGATCTAATGAGAAGTGCATATTTCTTAATGGTCTCTTTTCTAAAAGAAAAATGAAGTTACTTGAAATTTATACTTGGGGGGTAGGGTACGGTAATTGTCATCACCAAGATGGCAAATTTAAAGAAAATAATTGGCAAAACAATTCACTGCTGTTACTAAAATCTTTCTTGTGAATAGATTCAATAAAAGCAGAACAGTCTTGAGCTTGCAGACTAACTTATAAAGATATATTTCCCACAGTATTTTACTATTAAAAATAAAAACAATTTCAACAGCTTTAAAATTAAAATTTGTGCATTGGCATTTTAAAGTTCTGTGTTTTGTGTACCATTGCCATCTTTAACATAACTCCAGCCTCACTCATCCATATATCAAAATGTAACACTAGTAACTTTGATAAGGTTATTTATATGTATATGTTAAGAAGAATCAGTGTCTTGGTTAATTAGTTCCATAGATTATCTACAGCCACTATTCTTAGTCTTCCTTCCCACAAGGAGAATGAGTTGGGCTAGATATTTATCCAGCCTCTGCCTAAGAATTATTCATTAACAATTAGGATGCTTGAACCAAGTAGTTAAATGTTTTGATTCAATAATGTGACTTTAACAGAGCCATTACTTTTTCAAAATGTAAACCTAAGTGATAAACCGTCAGATCAAGTTTTGACATCTTAATATGTATTCTGGGGAGTGAGATAAGAATCATACTTTTATATTACTTAATTACTAAGAAAATCAAAATCCAACTTTTAAGTCTCATTAAAATAAAAACCAAATCCACTTGAATTCATTAATGATGCTGTTGGAGACAAAAAGAAAATAATCTCAAAACCATGATTAATATTTACTGACTTGCAGAGAAAATATACTTTCTGTTAAGCATAATAGACTATAATTTTCTATTATTTACAAATATAATTTGCCAATATATATTTCAAAGGTATTCTATTAATCTGTATGGATTAACAACTTCTATTTACCAATTCTGCATGTTAATTATCTACATCTTAACCTTGGCTAATCACTTGTAAATTCTGCATGTTACAGTTATCTACATCTGAACCTTGGCTAATCACTTATAAATAATCCTCAATCCATCATAATAGGCTGCAAAGAAATATGTTGGTAAAATATTTCAGCATTTTTCTAGTTCTCAAAATCTCAATGCAATATGATGATCAGTATGTTATTTGTACCCCCTTCTTACTAAAGTTATAGTGATACCCTTTTATATGGTTGAACCTTATGACAAGGCCATTAAAATGTATTAAAAGTTATTTCGTGTAATTAAGTATTGCAGCAATGTTTCCCACACAGTAGTATACCTACATAGACCAATCCTACATAGGCCAGTCCTGAGATGATTTTAAGGGGAGTGCTATATGGATGAATAAATTTTCTTTAATAGTTGTATATTTTAATGTTTATTAGAAAAAAATGTAACTAGCACATAAAATATCAAATATGGTTGCTCAAAACAAATTTAAGATCAAAAAAGGAAAATTTTTTTTAAGATAGGGTTAAAACATAAGCTACCATTGGCACAAAGATACATATATGTGAGCGCATGAAGGTAACATGTCACTCACATTTGGGAAATGCTGTTTTAAGGAATGGATAAATTTACATTTCTAAATGCCTGTAACAGTAAGCCACATCCTAGAGGAGTTTTCTTCTATTACTGTAAATTTGTAAATTTGTTTTTTCTCCCATGACAATTATTTTTAATGTGTTTTTACATTTTATTTTAAGAATATAAATTTGAAAGCATTAAGTAAATTAAATTTACATTAAAAGGATTCACCAAAATGGTAAAAATGTTAAGGAGCATTTAAGAGACATGCTATTCCTACCGAAAAGACTACAAAGGCACATTGTATATTATTGTTATCACTGCAGCATTTAAATAAAAGTGACCTAAGTAATCATTATCAGTCATAAATAACAGTTATAATATTCTTTCATAAAAAAGCAGGTATGCTTGTGCACTAAGTGCTCTTGATTCTGGAACCACCTGCACGTAAGTGTCACTAACATGGACCCACTGGTCAGCTGAATCACCATCAGGTTCCTTCAAACCTAACAAAGCAAAAAGTATAATTTTTAACAAGAATTATGTTATGTTCTTACTCTACATTGTAAACAAAACATCACAAATTATTTAGCTAGTGCTAGATTTTATTGTATAAGTCCCATTCTTTTTAGGTTAAAAATCTTCCAAATCAGTTCTTTCAAAACATTAATATTGTAGGAAAACAGTATCACTTTACTTTTAATATCAAATTAAATATTGGACACTCTCTAAATATACCTTTTCTCAGGGAACAGAATCATTTTCACTAAAGGGAGAGGGAACAATGACAACGTTACTAGTTCACTGCTCTTTAAGAAGAATCAAGAAATTTTTAACTCAATCTCTACCTTAACCCAACAGATTTTTTTAATTTATTTTTATTTTTTATTTTATAACAGTTTATTTTTACATCATTTTGTACATTTTTTTCCATCTCAATTGTAATCCCTGCGGGTTTCCCATCACCATGTCACCCGTGTGCCATCACCATAATCCCATGCACTTCCCTCCCCACCCCCCCATTTTTGATCCCATTCCCCACTCCACCCCCACAAAATGTCTCTGGTATATGGTTAACCCAACAGATTTTTTAACTCAGCTAAGGATCTGCATGTCATTGGGAACTTAAGACACTGCTAAAGAAAAGGTTTCTTACTCCACAATGACTTATCATCTTGAAAAACTGTGTGTCACACCACCCTGATATTAGTTACAGTCTTATGATACTGAGGATTCTCTTATCATCTGAGTACTCTTAAAGATAATTCTCACTTAACACTTTCTCACTTTCACTTTTAAAAAAAAAAGATTATTGGCCCTCCCTGGTGGTGCAGCGGGTTAAAGCACAGCACTGGGAAGCTGAAGCCACTGCTGCATGAGTTCAATTCCCGCCTGCCCCAGAGGTGACCACATGGCGTGGCAGACCTCTCTTGACCCGCCCCTGCTCCCCTCAGCAGTGTACTTCCTCGATCGGCCTGTTCTGCTCCCCATTCTGTCTCTGGTGAAGCCTCTCGCCAACCCTGAGCCTCTGGCCTGTACCCCAGTTCTGTATGTACAAATAAATAAATCTTTAAAAAAAAAAAAAGATTATTTATTTATGCATACAAACTGAGGTACAGGCCAGAGGCACAAGTGTGGTGAGAAGACTCATCAGAAACAGAGTGGGGAGAAGAACAGGCCAACCGACAAGGTACACAGCTGAGGGGAGCAGTGGGCGGGTCAGGAGAGGTCTGCCACGCCATGTGGGTCACCTCCGGGGTGGGGATCGAACTCATGCTGAAGAGGCTTTAGCTTCTTAGTACTGTGTTTAACCCACTGGCCACCAGGGAGGGCCCCTCACTTTCACTTTTAAGTCTCACACTTTTATTCCAGAAAAGGAATAATAAATTTATTTTTAAGAGTAAAGTTAAGTTACGATGGCATACCAGGTACATTTTTCTTTCCAGTGATATGTTCCAGTAATTTCCTTGAGGGTGTTCTCACTTTCACATAAGCGGTGTAGTGACCTCCTCTCATGGAGCCACTATGTTCCACTATGCCATAGAGACCATAGAGAACTTTATCTCCCACAGTCACATTCTTTTAGACAAAGAAAAACCCAAATTAGTAATATTTACTGAAATAGGACAATTAAGTAAGATGCATGTCCTGCTTAAAAAAAGAAAATGTATATTAAAGCTACACTGAGATGCTTGTCCACATTATTAGACCAGAATGTTCTTTTTAAAGATTTACTTACTTATGCACACAAGAACTAGGGTATAGGCCAGAGGTGCAGGGGTTGTGAGAGGATTCACCAAAGATCACCAAAGACAGAGTGGGGAGCAGAATAGGCAGATCTACTGAAATACACTGCTGAGGGGAGCAGGGGCCAAGACAGGAGAGGTTTGCCACACCATGAGAGTCACCTCCCTGGCAGGGAATTAAATTCATGCTGCAGTGGCTGTGGACAGCTTCACAGTGCTGTGCTTTAATCTGCTTTATTTTGCACAACAATAGTTTGGTTATCTGACTCTTTGTTACTCTTGGATAGGGTAGAAACAGGTGGAAAAGACATGAAGAAAAGCCACACTTCTTTGAACTTACCTTGTTTTGTACAGTAGGAAATATGTAACATTTTATCTAGTTATTTAGTTATTTAAACAAATGAGTATCCTGTATGTGGCATTAATTATTCAAAGAGGAACTATTAGGGTCATGTCAAAAGAACCCAGCAGCCAAATGAAATGGATCAAACAGTAGCCCCATTAGACTAAAATATTACACCATGAATAAAAAGGTATAAGTTGAAGCATTTAATATGCTTAAATCCATGATGATCAATTAAGTGATCACAATTTGAGGGTGCTAGTGAACTAATTCATTACTTTGAAAACTGGTTTATAAGGGGGGACAGAAAAGAAGTGAACATTCATCCTGCCTTTTCTATAGGAACATATAATTAGATGAAAAAAAAATTTAATCTAGCTAGCTGAAATGAAGAATCAGAATATGCTCTTTGTGTAATTCTTTTTTTTTTTTTTTTAGTTTATTTATTTACGCATACAGTACTGGGGTATAGGCCAGAGGTGCTGGGGTAGAGAGAGGCTTCACCAGAGACAGAGTGGGGAACAGAACAGGCAGATCGATGAAGTACACTGCTGACGGGAGCAGTGGGCAAGACAGGAGAGAGGTCTGCTGCACCATGTGGGTCACCTCCAGGGTCAGGGATCAAACTTGCACCCAAGCACCGTGGCTAGCTTGCAGTGCTGCGCTCTAACCTGCTGCACCACCAAGGAGGGCCACCTTTATGTAATTCTTAATGAACTTATGGCTATGGCTCTGCATCTCTGCATATTGTTGCTAATACCCTAAAAAGATAACTGGCATTATGTACCAACCTGTGAAAGAATACAAGTCTTCATATGAAACAGCCTTACCAAAAAGGGGATATAAAACTGAATCTAAGCCTGCTAATTCCATCTATCTCGTTGCAGGAAAATAAAGGACAGGTAAAAATAATCAAAATCTAAACTATGGGCAACTACCAGAAGGAAGCCCCAGTTACTTCAACAAATGAATTGCAAGGGGAGGGAGAGAAGGGAAGAGAGATGGGAACAGGGAAGATATATTAAAAGAAATTAAAATATACTATCCAATCATAATGTTCAGCCCTTATTTGGATACTAACTCATTCAAAATTTTTATAAGACAATTAGGAATTATTGTTAGTTATGTGTTTTAAAAGGGGAACATCCTAGTGTCCACTCATCTTTACCTTTGAGATGTAAATATACACTTCTTTTCATTTATACACACTTCTCCAGTAAACAACAATAATGGAATCAGAGCCAACCTATTTTCTTAGAGAGCAGTAGTTACTATTTTTCCTTTTTCTTTTATTTTGCTAAATTCTAGTTAGCACTGTGCTCAGAACATTTATATGAATTATCCCAATAAATCTTAAATAAAAGAAAAGTAAAAAATAAAAGGGGGGAAGTGATCTTTTTGAGACTCATAGTGAAATATTTAAGAATGAAATGACACCTGATAATTTGTTTCAAACTAATGCAAGAAGAAGAGAATCCATGTGTGGACTGGGCAGCACTGGCAATGTATCTAAGGGCTCTAGGGCCAGGTTGTAGGTGCTAGGGCTTCATTGTACTGTTACCCCATTAACTGCTCCGTTCTCTCAGACAAAATCAGTTTACCCATATAGTACTTACATACAACTACAAGTATTATAACCAATCTGCTTTGTATGTCTAAGAAAGTAGTAGCAATTTTGGTAAGTACAATCTTCTCCGTACTGCACACAATGCACTGGTATATTGATTTGCAAAAGATTAAAGAACTCCACAAATGCTAAAATTACTGTCAACTGAGCACATCAATCACAAGAAACAGGAGAGACCCAACTTCTGCTCGCCTCTCCTAGCAGCCACGTGCTCCCTGGAGCACTTACAGGCAGCTTTGACCTTCATGACCACCATGCCTCATACTTTACCTACCTCTGCAACTTTCCCTTACTGTCTCCCAAGTGACAGTGTGTGTGGAATGTGTCCTACATGTTAGTGATTTAATCTCACTAACCATACAATTCCCTTTTAAAGGAGAAACTTATTTTAGAAAAGAAAACCACAGTCTAATAATACACAGAATATTCTTAAGCATATTATTTGTAAATTAATTAAATATTTCAATAACATACCTTACAAGTAGCAGAACAGAAGGGTGCTAAATCAAGCAAAAGTGGAAAATCTACATGTCTGTTAACCTTGCGAAGACTCAAACCAGCCTTAAAAAGACCAAAAAAATTTAAAGCAACAAATTTACATCTAAATCATTGTGTTTGTTTAAGCAAAAAAAGGAATCCGTAGTTATTTTCATAGATAGAAAATGTGACTAATGAATAATGCAAACTGATTTTATCACCAACTTTTCATCTGGCTTCATAAATTGTTATCGTTAAGAAGTACTCATTCAAACATACATTTTTACACAAATAGAATAGTTACTTTCACTGTGGCCTTTCAAAACTTAGGGAAAAATAAATTCAATGTGATGAAAGTTAAACTACTGACATACACAGTATCATGAAAATATATGATACTGACTCAACTAGAGAGTCGGGAGCCTCGTGTTTTATATCTGACCAATAACTGGTTAACAGCTAACTTGACTCTAGGCAATCTCATTGAGTTCAAGGTAGAAAATGAACATAAATGAATAGATTATGTCCTTTTCTAAAATTCTGTGATATTTATTCATTAAAAAAGAAAATCCTCCACACAAATACCTTTACTAAAATAGTAATCGGTATATAAATTGAAATGATCCTTTGTGACCTTAAATAAGTTCTATTTCTTTTTCTAATTTCCAAAAGCAGACCTTAAAAAAATACTCTGCGTTACATAATGACAATAAAACCTGACAGACTGTCAAAGGTATCAAGTAGAAAACCCATAAATAGAAATGGATTCTATTGGAATGAGTCTTCACTTAAATCTAGAGATGCAAAACTTTCATACAGGACTATAACTACAATTTTAACTGTATTTTTCATGTGCATACTAATCACATAATTTTACTGTACATCTGATTTCTATCCTGAGTTTTAGAAAGACTGCCACAGAAAGCTCAGGTTAATGTTCATTCAAGTTTTCTGCTAGTACTGGGATATTTTGTTTCATACATATTTTAGGTTTATCTGAAAATAGCATATCGTGGAGGAAAGCTCTAAATTTTTATTTCTTCAAACAGAATAACCATTGTCTTTCCCAACTGATTTGAGATGATTCTTTATCATAACAGGAGTTGCAAATTTTACTTATTTTGATTTATTGACAATCCTTTTCTTGATTTCATTTACTGACATTCTGACCATACTGTTGTAATTATTATAGCTTTGTTTTAAAACTTATATCAGAATTTATTCTAGCTTTTTCAAAAATGTTTTGTCAGATGCAAAAATAATTCCACTGAGACAATATATTGGATTAAAACTACAAATAAGTGGAGAAAAACCTGACACATTAAAAAAAAAAAAGTGACACGTAGGTTTCCACTGTGATGTCCTAAGGAGTAGGGGGAAAAGGGGAGCTATTTGTAGCCCTTTCTGCATTTAGTCCTTGCCCACAATGCCCAGCCATGCACTCCTCAGTAAGGTCATGAGAGCTCAGAAAGTTGTATGTGCTTTGCTATATCCCCATTCTAAATTTTCTTAATAAGCCTTATTATTTCATTAACACATATTTTGGTTTCACCATCTAAATCTTCAATACTCTGAAAAATTTTTAATTACAAAGGTTTTGGTAAACTTTTTATAATCATGGCCCAAAAAACGGTAAATTTCATACCACTTCTTTTCAGTAAGTTACGGTCTAATTGGTGACATTTTAACACGTAGGTTTCCACAAAACAAAAGATGAAAATGACCAAAGTGCCATGGAAGGGATTTTTACCTGATGGAATCTTTTTAGATGGAGAATTAGGACAGCTGGAACAGCAGAAATGAGTAACTGCTTCCTCGCATTAGTATAAACCCCTTCTGCTTTTCTTTCTGTATAAAATACAATATTTATTTATAAAATTTCATTTTACATAAGTTACATTATATAATACAGGAAAGTTTAATATAGAAGCATCAAACCACATCTTAGAAAATGGCAAAAGGTAATCAGACTTATGGTTACTTTTCTATTCCAAAAACTCCACTAAAATGAAAGGGATTTATTTTAAGGCACATAACTAATAAACTTCAAGAACACTTGCAACAGAATTTTGGAAGCTGAAAGCAGATGTACCAGTATTGACTTATGTCAATGTACTCCAGTCAAAGACTACCATAAACATGCCTGTAGTTGAGAAAAACAGGACATTAGTCATTCCAGTGAAAGGAGATCAAACACCGTGAGACCAAGGAGCATTACATTAAGAGGTGTTAGGAGGACTTATAATTGGATTTGAATATGGCCAATTGCCTATGTAACCTGGATGAACAGAAGTTATTTCTCCCTTTCCCATCTAGACATTTCTTTAATTACTAGTACATTAAATATGTCTTTATTCCAATACTTTGATATCTGGAGCCTTGTTGCACTGCCAGGGTGAGTTCTTCCACGGCTAAAACTTCCTAGAGATACCAAACAATTCAAATGTATCTTTCAACAAACCTAAAGCCAGTACCCTAACCACTACCTTTCTACATTTACATCCTGAAAATCTTATACTCTAAGGCTTATATATTCTAAGCCACCATTCTACCTCCCTTAATTATATCAGGGCCAATTAACAGACAACTAGAGACACCCCTTTACCCCAGATCCCACTGAAATTATAATTTTTTTAAAAGATTGTTTTTTTACTTTATGTATACAAGAACTGTGATGCAGGCCAGAGTTGCAGGGGTTGAGAAGATTCACCAGAGACGACATGGGGAGCAGAAAAGGCAGATCAACTGAAACACACTGCTGAAGGGCACAGCAGGCAAGACAGGAGAGGTCTGCTGTGCCACATGGGTCACCTCCCTGACCAGGGATCAAACTCGTGCTGCAGTGATTTCGGATAGCTTCACTGTGCTGCATTCTAACCCCTGTGCCACCAAGGAAGACCCCCTCACTGAAATTATCAAAAAGCAAAAAACCTTAACTAAACCTTCGCACTCTTGTTCCTTTGTTTCTGCAGTAGCCACAATATACTCTTGCCAATGTTTCCCCCTTGATCCCTCTGCCTCCTGACCACCCATGATGCCACCCCGTGTAGCCTTGTGTGACTTGGTATAGATGCCCTCTCTTCTTGGAAACTGTAAATCCAAATTACCAAATTATCTGTTCAGTGGCAATCTGGTCCTGATCTGTTGGCTTCACATCCCCAAGTAATAATAAAACATACATTTGGAAACACTAGTCATTAAGCACAGAACATTCTCTCCACTTAATCAAGGCTAGAGTACACTTAAGTTCCTTACTTGACTAGTCCCTGTTATTCTATTTTGGTCAACGAAGCATAGGTATTATATGGCTAGCTTTATAACATGCAATTATTTAAAATCACCAAACATTTTATGCTATGACTTTCCAGTAGATTGATGGAATTTGTGGAGCTCCTTGATCTCAGTAATCTGATCCATGATACAACTGTAAGTTTTAGGAAATTTTTCTGGAAAGAGTTCAGAGTCCCTTAAAATAAAATTATGTAGATTTACATTTTCAAGGCAAAGACTGATACTTTCTATTCTTCAAGTCATTCCAACAAAAGTCTATTGAAAATTTACTCTGCTCAGTTATCTTCAGTACTGCAGTACAGTATGAGTAAGACAATCCCTGCCTCCAAACAGCTCAAGGGTGGAGACAGAGTTCTGATTCCTCTGTAACCTACTAATCTATCCAATAATTAATGAATATAAAAAATATAAGCTAAATATTTACCTGCAGAACTGTTTTCCTTTTGGTACTTGTGTTTCTTTTCAGTACAGTTCTCACAGAGAAGCTTGTTATTCCCCATTAGTAATTCCATAGATGTAAACTGGTAGAGACAGGACTGAATTGAACATTCTTTAGATGCAGTTACATAGCTCTGAGAAAGGGTCTGAAAAGCATTTTGGGGGCTGTGACACACCATATGCTTCTCCTCTGAAAAACAGAAATTATTTGGATCACTTAATGGCTGGTTTTCTCTGTCGAAATTTCTATCTCCCATTTCAGCATTGCTCAAATGAAGTTCAGAAATGGCTTCAGCCACTCCCTCATCACCACTGTCAGTCTTCTTGATGTGCAGCTGGCTTGCTGGTGGACGGGAGAGGTGTCCGTTGGTGTGCACACAGCATCCATTACTGCAGCGCAGTAACACAGAGTTATTAGGAGCACTTTCAGATTCTGAAGCCTCACTGTCGGCATCTGCACTGCTTTCAGAGTGGCTGGCTTCTTTGTCGCTGCCATCCGTAGGGCTTTCCGTCAGAGTCATTTCAGCACCCCTGATGCTCACAATCACTGAAGAATCCCCGTTCATTTCAGGGTTTTCACTTTTCCGGTATATGACAACAGTTTTATCTTCTCCAGATGAGAATTTTTTTATACTTTTTCTGCCATGAATTAGTTGATTCTGTAAGTTGACAGTTTTTTCAGAGAAAAGAATCTTGTGACCTTACTAAAAATAAATGCCAATAAGTCTAATTTAAACATGCTACAAATACTAAATTAAAACTATTTCTAGTACCTCTGATATCTCTATTTCCTAAACTGTAGAAAACTGGCTAACAAAGAGTTCTGGTTTAAAAGTAAGCCTTTACACAAGAAACAACAACGGTGGCTACGTATCTGCAAAGAACAGAACGGGACTCTGTGAAAGAGGGTGGTGAGGGAGGCTTTTCAACTGTTTATACAGACCACATCATGCAAAAAAAGATTTTTTTAATGAACTAAAAATTCAGCTATTTCTTTAAATTTACACAGGATAAACAATAGCCAGGTGATGTCCCTAGTGAAATAATGGCTCTCGGCAGTGGTCTTCAATGACTGGCCACATCACAGGGAGACATCAAACATAACGTGTACCTCCTAAAGAGAAGTATACGCCACCACTTAAAATTTTCTTACCAAAAATTAAATTACCAAACTGAAATCTAATTAGGCCTCTAGAGCTAACTGCCTCAAAAAGAAAATAAAGGACAGCAAAGGAATGCAACAGTTTGAATTAATATTAGTATTAATATTAATGTTCATGGTATGATGGCTATACTTTTCAAAAGAATATTTCATAAAAACACAAGAGTTGACAAAACTGACACAAAATCTTTGCAGAGTGTTGCCTTTTAAGACAAAAAGTACCCTGTCCTTACAATTTTGAAATCAGACCTTTGAGAATACAACTGAAATAACAAATTGCCTAGTTCAGAATTGTTCTATTAAAAATTTGAGTCATATGACAAAATACAATGTAATTATTGAAAAGTCACATTCATGACATATGTACAATGTCAGAGGAAACACCAATGATAAAATGTAACCCCCCAAAATCCAAATACATACTATTATGGCGGGCCCAATGAAAAATAATTAAAACTAATTTTTTAAAGTATATTTAGTTTTTTAAATACACTAAAGTAAATGATATATTTAGGATTTATTTCAAAATAATCTGGGATGGAAATGAGAATATAAAATAAATACAGATAAAACATGGTGAGGGCTCTCCCTGGTGGTGCAACAAGTTAAAGCACCGCATTATGAAGTTCTCTGAAGCCACTGCAGCATGAGTTCAATCCCCGGCCAGGGAGCTGACTCACATGGCATGGCAGAACTCTTCTGACCTACCCACTGCTACCCTCAGCAGTGTATTTTAGCAACCTGCCTGTTTTGCTCCCCACTCTGCCTCTAGTGAATCCACTCACCCACACCTCTGGCTGTACCCCAGTTCTGTAAGCATAAATAAATAAATCTTTAAAAAAAAAACACATGGTGAGCTATTGATTATGATATAAAGTGGAGACATAGGTATATGGGACATTACTACCATTTTCTTTATTTATGTATATTTTTGAAATTCTTAAAATTTGTAAAAATAGATGTCACAAATTACACAATCTTACCTTATTTTTAGATGAGAAATTCTTCTGGGTGGCTCTTTGTTGATGAGTATTTTCTATAGCAACAGTGCCATTGTACTGACCATTGTCTGTCTCCTGTGAATTTCTATATTTACTCATCTTTCCCAGAAGCACAGGTTTTGAGACCTATATAGATGCATATCCATAATACAAAACTTTAGCAAATAAATTCTGAATATCATCTACTTTTTACAATTTTGAATATATTTGAAATATAATTTCTTTATTAGCTCACAAAATAGAAAGTTTAAGGATATAAATTCCTTAAGAATAATAACTATATTTTATGTATATGTGTATATATACACACACACACACACAAATCCCAGTGTCAAATACACTATATAAACTCTATTTAATATTTAAAAATGATGCTTACATATATGAATAAATGTTGAAATATATAAATGAATAAAGGCCCCTCACAAAAGACTCATTAAGCTTTTTCTCCTTACCCTTTCTTCTATTATAGGAAGTGAAATATCAATGAAAGGATCTTTCACCATAGAGATCTTAAAAAGATTAAAAGAGAACTTCAGTTAGAATTCTAATATAGACAATTCTATATTGTAAAGTCTTAAAAAAAATCAAACTGCCCAGAAAACTTAAAATTTTTAATTTAAAATTGGTCTTAGAACAAATAGTGATTTAATAAGTATAACATCACATAACATAAATAAAACATAAAATGTTAAAAATGTCAGAAAGCATTACTTTTTTAGATTTCTTAGGATAATTGTCTTAAAAAATACTTTCTAGATAATTAGGAAGAAATCAACTTCATATACATTCTGTCCAAATTCTTACCAAAAATTAAATTCCAAACTTGCAATTAATTAGGCCTCTAGATCTAACTGCCTTAGAAAAGAAATATAGTACAGGAGAACAAAGGTATGATATGATAAGCTGGAAGAGGATAGAACAAATAATCCTAATTTTATATACCACAGAAGAAAGAGCCTCCATAATCTGAGACAAGAAAAGGAACATGAAGCTTCTCCTTTTTACCATTAAAATCTAACAAAAGTTTAGACTTAAAAACTAAACATTACACTTTCAGAAATATTAACAAACAAGTGAAAATCCGTAAAAATTTACACATGCTTAAAATTGTTGTAAAATACAGATGTTACACTTAAAATTACCACTAAGTTCAAAGATGAATCAAACCTACTTAAAAAAGGAACCTTCAACAAAGCATATAAATGTAAACCTAAAATCAGATGTATTAGATCATCCTAAAGTGTCACTACATTAAATTATTTCTATTGGAGTTACAATTTAATGCACTAATATAAAACAGTGACTCTCTTCATAGAAATTTTTTTCATTTCAACAAGAAGTTAACACACTGTATAATATTAAAATAGGTTTAAACATACTTCATAAGTTTGTCCATGGAAAAATAAAACACATTTACTTAAAAAATATAACAATTATGTTTAATTCTTAGGATTAAAGGGTATATTTTTAGAAGATCTTCAAAAAACTATTATGTAGTCATTCATCACAAGCAGAAATAAAAGTGCTGATAATTACATGTGAAACAACACAGTAAAAATGTGATCATTATATATTCTCCCACTGAATTTCAAAATACCTACATTTGAACATTCTTCACACATGACAGTACTAGTTAATTCACCAATAAAGATCCGATCAATGAAGTTCATCTTCACACCTTCTCGTCCATATGCTGTAAAAACATAATTTTTAAATGCAAAAAATATCTCAATCATCACCTACCGATATAACATGCTATTTTCTGTTGATTCATCTCAACCATCACCTACCAATATAACATGCTATCTTCTATTGATTCAAGAATATCTAAATAAGACACATGTCCAGAACCAAATTTAGTATTATATTCTATGCTATACTGTTATGATGTCTTTTTCCTTTATAATTCCATGGAGAAACTATTAACTACAAGAAATAAAAGTATTCTTAAACTTAAAAGGTAAAAGACAGGTCTCCCTGGTAGCAAAAAGATTTAAGTCTCAGCTGTATCAAGGTATCCTGTGTCTCTGGTGAATTCTCTCATCCCTTGAACCTCTGGCCCTCACCCCAGTTCTTGTATTTGTAAATAAATAAAATAAATCTTTAAAAAAATTAAAATAGGTAGAGCAATAACCACTTTTCAGACCACCTTCAACTCCTCCATGAAACCCTTTAAAATCTCTGTCGTAACCTAGAAGTTGATGAAGGGATTTGGGACTACTCGTGGCAGAACCGTAACTGGAAACAAAAGGAGTAGTGAAAGACAAGTAAACATAGCATAATGTAAAAAATTAACATGAGTAATGACTCTGTTTTTTAAATGGTTAAATTTTTATTTTCAGGAAATATTTATAAATCAAAGGAAATTATTAATTGCTTTAAAATGATCTAAGGATGGGAGAAAATAAATGAAGCATCATCACTGAAGGTAGTCTAAATTGGGTGATGGGTACGTGGGTACATGGAACTTTGGCTTGTCTTAACTTTTTGCTCTTATCTTAAGATTTTTTTAGTAAATTGTAGGAGGAAATATATTAATAAAGCTATACACTACTCAGTGACCTCTTTGGGTCACTTTTTTCAAATTACATATATAAACAATATTTAAAACATTATTTGAAGCACTGAATGGCAGATACTATCTGTCATTATATTAGCAGATATTCTGAAAATGTTAGAAATATGATGTTTCATTAAAAAAAATTCTACAAAGAGCTGAACATAGAGTACAAAACTGGGAAAGGGGAAAAAGTGGGTAGTTACTCTAAATATGCACTAGATGGCGCTATCTCAAAACAAAAGAATAAAACACTAACGAATGTCTTATGTTTTACTCTCTCAAATCCTAAACGTTTAATAGTTTTTGAATAGAAAAATCATAATGTGGAATTATTTATGTTATGCATATGTCATATGTACATATAAAATCACAACAATACTATAAAAGAGTTAATAAAATACATATTTTAAATGTCTTGTAAAAATGATCAATTTGTACGATCACTAGTTAATGCAGAAGACTGTACATTTAGGACAACGTAAATTGCTAATAATGCGATATAAAGCTATAGCTCAGTACTGAAGTATGATCTGTTTTGATTGGAGTCACAGTTCTTGCCTCATATTGTGGCTGATAAAAAGCCAACACTGAGAGTAAAACATTTGTGTATGTTTAACTTATTTGTACTCTCATAAATGAATGGTTTCTTAGCAAGAATCTTTGGAATCCTTGAGCATTTTAACTAGTTAAAATGCGGTTAATATTCATCAATCCACAAAACCAAGCTCAAGTCAACTGTACAATGATGTAACTATGAACATGAACTTCCCAGGAGGTTATCAACCACCTTTCAAGTCTCTCTTAGGACATCTTACATTGAGCCTCTTGATATCTGATAATAGTTGTACTTTTAAAAATGTGCATGGTTACATTCTAACAGTTTGATTCTATGACTTGCTAGGCAATTTTGCAGTGACTGGAGTGATACCTTCCTTGGAAGGTCACTACTTTAAAGAATTAGTTCACATCATGTTGATTCTTTTTACCCTGAAAAAAAAACTTTTCATATTTCTTTCTAGAAGAAATTTTAATGGTGTCAACATACCTTTGACTTTTTTTCTAGTTTCATCATCAGCAGTTTTAGTAGTTGGGTTGTTAAATGCTTTTAGAATGCTGGCTTGTATTCTCTATAAAACAAAGTTAATAGGAATTTACTAAGAGTCTATTCTAAATATATTCTTTCAAAGCAATTATTTTATATTCTTTTGAATAGAATCAAGTTTAATAATATTTAACTCAAGCTTCAGTCTCTTAATGACTTTCAAACAGCAAGTTCCACTGTCCCTAGTGTGATTGGAAAATAATCTGTGAATTTTTTTTATTAAATTAAACATCTTCTTTCTTCTATTTCTAAAATGCCATATATGAACAAATATCTAATTCTCCCAGTTAAGAGTCAGAGTTTCGGTTCTCTTAGGTTTAAAATATTTTTATCAGTCTAAAAAAGTGAACAGCTTTGTCTCATTTTTCTTAGGGACTTAAGAGTCTAAGTTCTTTCTGGGGGCTTCCCAGTGGCACAAAGCGTTAAAGCATAGCACTATGAAGCTATCTGCACCCACTGAAGCTCAAGTTCAATAAAAGGCCAGGGAGGTGACCCACATGGCACAGCAGACCTCCTGAATTGCCTGCTGCTCCTGTTAGTAGTGTATTTCAGTCAGTCTGCCTATCCTGCTCCCTACTCTGTCTCTGGTGAATCCTCTTACCACTACCTTCTGACTGGTATTCCAGTTCTTGTAGGTATAAATAAATCAATCTAAAAATTAAAAAAAGGTTTTCTCTCTTCCATTTTTCCCTGAAATGATATATTCATTAATTAGAACAAAAAGAAGCAACAGATTACATGAAATCTTAACAGCTGTTAAGAAAAGCTATTAAGCTAGTCACTCTGATATCTATTCATACACACCTAAGTCCAGAATATAAATTAATGTCCACAGCAAGAAGAATCCTCCAAATCTTTATTTTATTTGAATTTACTTGTCAATAATGATCATGTATTAAACTCCTTAAGCTTGATGTTTCCACATATTTTGCATGCTTTAAGAAAGAGACAACCTCACTGCAAACTTTCAGAATAAAATAAAGCTATCAAAAAAGAATTTTTTTTAAAGATTTATTTATTTATGTATACAGAACTGGGGTACAGGTCAGAGGTACAGGGGAGGTGAGAGGATTCACCAGAGACAGAGTGGGGAACAGAAAAGGCCGAATGACAAAGTACACTGCTCAGGAAAGCAGTGGGTGGGTCAGGAGAGGTCTGCCATGCCATGTGGATCACCTCCGGGGTTGGGAATTGAACTCCTGCTGAAATGGTTTTAGCTTCTTAGTGCTGTGTTTTAACCCACTGCACCACCAGGGAAGGCCCAAAAGGTTTAAAAAAAATTTAATAAATGATCACCCTTTATACTAATTATACCCCTAATTAGTAGATGAATTTAATCTCCTCTAGTTCACATTATAATGGTGGAATAAGGAAAACCACTACCAAAATCAAAGACATTTTAAGTAATCATACTGAACTCTCACATAATTACATTTGAAAATTTAGAAAGTACTTTTCCAGGAAGTTAATCTCAGATGAGAAAAAAAATCTTCCAGCGGTGTGTGTGTGCACGCGTTGTTAAATAGCAGTCTTTACAAAGAATCCTAGGTACTTAATAATTTCCTAGATGAATGCCACTGAACGTTTACTATGTTTTAGGGCATAAAGTGAAACTTCCAAAGTATTTTCATGAAGCGTAGTATTGATAACCTGTGCACACACCTGTATCACTTATAAAGAAGTTCTAAATAAAACATCAGAAACAAAGTACAGTAGAACCTTAAATTAATAGCACAGTATGACCAAGGTAGTTTTATTCCAGAAATTCAGGAAAGCTAGGAAATCTAAGATACTAGTATGAAGCCATCATATTAATAGTTGTGAGAAGAAGAAATTTTAAGGTCAAATTTATAAGTTGAAAAGACTGCCTATAAAAGATCTTATAGTTAATTTTATTTTATTTATGTTGTACATAAAATTTACAATTTTTGTGCAAATGATCTAGCACTCTATTCAATAAAAGCATGGTATATTCCTTAACCTGGTCATTAAAAAAAAAGATTTTAATGAAATGTTATTAAAAGAGGTCAGTAGTTTTTAATCAATACTAGAAGATTCTGGTGGCAGACATAATGATGTAGCCTTTCTTCAATCAAAAAACACATGGCAGTGAAAAACTACAACAACAGCACGATTAACAGCTGTGGAGTTCCCAGGCCAGACAATGCAGCTCCTGCTTGATTACTCACTGTAACTGACCCCATGACAGTCCCTGCTTACACGACTGAATAGATCTACAGACTTGACATTTCAATTTTGCCATACCATCTAAAACCCTCAAAAGAGAAAGAGATAAGAGCCTTAATACAACCAATGTTTCCTGCTATACTGCCTGAGATTTTAAAATACTGTTCATCCCAACCCAGTGCACCAGTATGACAAGGCAATAATTTAATATAACAGAAAATACCATCAAGAAACAGAAGTGAAGTAGGAGGGAAATAAGCAAGGATAGGTGTTTATTCTTTTATTAGCAGAAAAAAGCCATGTATAATGAAACAATTTTTAATTCCACTACACAGAAACCATAGAGAAAAAGGATCATTTTAACAATTAACAGTCTGAATTAATCTTAAATGCCTACATCATCTGTAAGCTCAGAAGTACCATAATGCATTTACTATTCACAACACAAAGACAGAGCTCCTCCCACCTTCTATCTGGTCCCCTAAATAAGAACATGAATATAACACAGTTACTTAATTACATTTAAAAGTGTTCATTATATTTAACACTTTTACAATTAATGACAAAATTATGGTTAAATTTTATACAGCAAACTTAAAGCATCAACAGACTAATCACCGATGGAAGAAGCATTAAAACTAAACTCTGATAAGCAGTACTGTATAGAATTAGAAGTAGAAAGTTCATCTATTTGGCAGCCTGAATGACTTGAGTTTGACTCTCCATTCTGAGTTAACAGTTTCGATATGTAAAAATGTCATCAAATATTAGGTTAGGAATCTTGTTATAATGTCTCCCAAATTTAGCTAATTATAAATCGTAACTGGTCTTTAAAAACAAATTATACAACATAAGACAATATTATTCTGTTAATACTATTCAAAGTATAACATAGTCAAAATAACTGCAAATCTCTAGATGCAAACCTAGAAACTATTTACTATAATTTAAGAAGCTATTTATTTTGTTTTATATTCAATTCAAATTTTCAACGGAAATTGCCTACTTAAGGTTATGCCCAGATAACTTAGGCAACAAATATTCACTGAACACTATGTGCAAGGCACATGGGCTACACAGATAATGCATAGGATCATTCCTGAAAAGACCATAATCTAAGAGATAAATAGATAAAGATACAAATCTAAATATATATGTATAGATTTAAATACAAATCTAAATATAGTAGGGTTCATAATCAAAATGTTAAAATAGAGCTATGGCAGAAAGAAGTGACACCTTCAAATGCTGAGTTAATACGAAAGTCAATGAAACGGCCAATCAAGGATGGGATTATACACTATACACTGACAGGTAGCAGAAGAGAGTCATTCATTTATTCTTTCATAAACTCCTTACGTGGAGGGCCCGCCCTCGGGGCGCAGTGGGTTGGGCTACAGCCGTGTAAAACTGGCCACAGCTGCTTCAGTGCAAGTTCGATCCCTGCCCCAGAGGTGACCCACATGGCGCAGCAGACCTCTCCTGACCTGCCCGCTGCTCCCCTCAGCAGTATATTTGGTCGATCTACCTGTTCTGTTCCCCACTCTGTCTCTGGTGAATTCTCTCACCACTACTGTACCTCTGGACTCTACCCCAGTTCTGTATGTATAAATAAATAAAATGTTTTAAAAAAAGAAAATATTAGAAACCTAACTCTTCACTGGAAACTGTCCTTTACACTTCCATGCTACAATTTAAACAAGCACAATTTTTAAAAATTAAAAATAAAAGGAGTCCGCCTGCTGCATAATACAGTAACTACATATTATAAATGTAGTAGCCTAAGAGTACTACATTTTAACATGGTGGTTTTACTTATATTAACAAAGATTTTGGAATATATTCACTTTGACCAAAAAACAGAATTTCACATATTGAAAATTGTCTATTGTAGGTAGACACTGTGCCTACCTACAGAGCTATGCTGAAAAGATTCAATGGCTGAATCCAGACTCAGCAGAACTTATGATTAGCAATGTCTGCTACTGATGAGAAATGGAGAATGTGTGTGCTGAGCATTTGACATCTTTAATATTGTGCATTTCTCTGAAAATTCTATTTGTGTAGCCCCACCAGAAGACTGAATTTAACTAACCTAACATTAAAGTTAAAAAAATAGTAATCAATTAAAAACCGGATTACAATAAACACTAGGGCATCCCTCCAGTTCATGAGTCATTTCTTTTCGCAGAAAAGTTCCCTGCTCCTAGAGCCGGGGATCCTATCCTAGTACTGACAAGTGACTGATCCAACTGGATTCTAATCCAACAAGGAAAAATGAAATGTCTTTCTCTCTTTGGCATTTAGAACCGAGATTCACAAAAGGCAAGTTTCATTTTTACATATGTGTAATGACAATATGCAAACTATGGTAGTCAAGTGCTATCATTCAGAGAAAATTCCATCTGCAAGGAAATGAAAAAAGAAAATCTGCAGAGCCAGGAGTAGGGAAATGAAAATGCTTTCTGAATTCTTAAGAACTTTCCTGTTTCCACAACACCAGCTATATCTCCTGCACTGTATTTTTAGATTCCCGTACTTTTTATAGCTAGTTTAAATTGATTTCTGATATTTATAACCAAAATGTATTAGCTAACAAAAGGAAGAATAGGGTTGTGAAAGTGTTAAAGGTGGGGAGGAAAAAAACAAACAATACAAATGGATAGAATTAAAATATTTCTCAACCATATATTAAATTTATGGTAGGAATTAACTCCTTCAATTTTGTGTCCTCTTCTTAAAGAGTGTATGTGATAAATATAAAGAAACCTTACCTTTGTTTCTTCAGTCCTCACTGCATCGAGCAGATAATGAAGAAGTTCCTGACTATCCTGTTGTTGTAAACTTTTAAATCCAGGGGCCCTATGATTTAAAAATTAAAGAAAAGAAAAAAGAACAATATGATTCATCAACAATACATTATTATTACTTGAAATAACTTTGAAATAATAAAGCCAAATACTCAATTTACAGCACTAAGCAGAAAAATAAAATCTGACCACTATTCTAATTAGGATGGCATTGTAAGTGCACCAAGAACAATATCACTATCATTTATTATGCAGCTACTACATGCAAAGCACAGTGCTAGTAGATTTATATATGTTAAGTCACATAATCCTCAAAGAAATTGGCAAGCACTATTTTCACAGCTATTTAAATAATAGGAATTATTTAAATAGTTTGTAAGGGCATAAAGCAAGCAAAAAGCAAAACAAAAACCAATCAGGCTTTTTGAAAGGTGGGCATCCTGGAGAGTACAGATAGATGCCAGGCTTCAATCAGTTGGAAAGGAAAAGAGAGCTGGAGACTTGAAAAGAGCTTGGAGAGGCAGTAAGAGAGGTAGGCACATTTGTCAGGAAGACCTTTACTGAGCTGTCACACTGAACCCTGTCCTCTGACACTATGTACGCACAGACCTGACCTCGACTCTGCCTCCATCATCACCTGCTGAATGGCGCCACTAGTTCTGTGCTGTGTCCTGAAAAGAGCTGCTGCAGGTGGCCTAATTGGCTAGCAAAGCTATGACACTGCTTCCCACCTCTGCCATACCCAGCACCAACCCTTGGTACTGTTGCCTTTGGTGCTACAAGTCCAGTGTCCAGGGCTGCCTGGGCCATCCTTCAGACTGCTGTTGCTGACTGCCATGGTGACACTTCTCAGAGATCTTTCAGACCTTTAACCTTGGCAGACTTTCATGACCTTCAATCTTCAGACATTGCTATTGACTCTGGTCCTCCCTCTAATACTTTTCTTCTAACTCCTGTCTCTTTTGTAAATACACTCTGTTATTGAACCATGCATCTGAGTCATCTCCTGCAACTGCACTGTAAGCACATGGGAACCCATGAACCATGACATCTTGGCTCCCCCAGGTCTTGCATGGTGGTTACAGATTAATTTACAGACTCCCCAGTGGAGGATACCAATGGGTACTGAGTTAACACTAAAAATATCTCCCAAAAAAAGGGGGGAAATTGCCAAATAAGTGAAAAGATTCACCCTATTCAAAACATGGAGAACACTAAATATTAACAAGAAATGTACCTTACTTAGTAAAGCTGTTATCCTGGGAAATAGGAAAGAACTTAAAAAAATTTTAAGTTGTTGAAGAGGAAAAATATGGGCACACTCAAAACAGTAATCAATTGTCAAGAAAAAATTGTTTAGAACAAGAGGATCTGTGTTATCTTTGGGATGAAGACAATCAGTTTGTTCAAGATCCAAAAATCTCTACTCCAAACATTAAATATAAAGAGAAAACAAAAAAAGGCATAAGTAGGGTTCAACATAAAATTAAATCCATAAAGCAAAATTAGAACACAAAGTGGTAGGGAGAGGGGAAAAACAAAAAGAACTGATGGATTCTGGCCTGACAGAGTTCCATTCTGAAAGGTAAAGAAAACCAAAGCCAGGCGTAAGGGGTGGGTGACCTTACCAAGAGCCTGAAAGGAAGTCCTCAGGCAAATCTTGCCACATTTACACAGACACAGTCTAGAGACCTGCTGTCTGAAGAGTTAGGGTAAGATTATCTTAAATATTTAAATTTGTATGCAGTGAGAGGAGGGCACTATGAGAAAGGAGAGTGATGGGAGGGAGGGTGGGAGAAAAAAGTGGCAAGGAAAACAAGAGGGATAAAGAAAATGGGAAAGGAAAGGAGACAGTCTACTCTAGAGGAGCCTATAAACCAGTATTATAAAACACATAAAAGAAATCTAATTTAAAAAATCAGCAATTGAAACAAATTTACTTCACTGAACTGTCCCAAAGATATTACCATAAATATATTGAGAACAGAGAAAAATTAATGACCTGTAGCTGTTAATAATCAACCTGAAATAAGAAAATAAAAACATAAAAATACAAAAATTCTGAACTATATATAGCTTATTAGTAAATGTGGGTGAGCAAATTAAAAGCTAATACTAAAGACATAATCAAAATACTGTAGTACGCATATTTTCAGCCAATGTTGAGAATTTGCTGGCACTCCGTAATGGTACACAAGCCACAGAGTATCTATCATGAATTATACACATTATATGTGATTGAAAGTATTCAACATGTAATCTTTAACAACAACCCCAAAAGCTCAGCACATCAATATCAACTAACAATGTAAAGGAGTTAAAGGAAGCATGGGCATGAAAGAGAACGCTGAACCCGAATCAATCCACAGTATCTCTACACCTTTTAGGAAAGAGTATGTGTAAAAAATGGTGAAGTCCAAGTAAGATCTGTACCAGAGTTGAGAGTATTAGAAAAATGTCAATTTCCTGGTTGTGATAATACTCTGTTATTATGTAAGATTATAATTTGGAGAAGCAAGATGAAAGGTACATTGGAAAGCTGTATTATTCTTGCAATGTTTTGTGAGTCTATTTATAAAACAAATCATTATAAAAAATTATGGAGGGTAAGAAAATTGAAGAATTTGCTCTCAACATTCATCACAGGTGGTCAAAGGTTCTGATATCACTACTATAAGAGAAATTTCAAGAAATTGTTTTAACTTTCAAAAACTGATCAGTACAAATATACTATATGGATGAATCTCAAAAAAATTGTGCCAAGTAAAAGAAGACATGCAGAAAAACAAATACATGTTGCATATCCCACATATACACACATATGCAGCTAAAAAAATCAAACAAGTTATATTCAAATAATATGGAAATATATATATGAAATATATTAAACAAGTAAGCAAGTTATAATTGTGTACATGTCTGAAAAGAATAACAGTAGTTTGAATTTTATCTAAATATCTTAATAATTTTTCAAATTTTATAAATTTTTATAAAACCAGAAAAAGATACAAAACAAAGTAATTTCTGACAGAGTCAGAAACAAATTTCTAAACATAATATCCTAAATTAACTCTATGAGGAACACCTATCTCTGAAATGTATGTTTCTCAGGCTTAAAAAAAACAGCATTTGAAGGGGGGGGGGGTGTAAGGGAGGGAAATGCACGGGACTATGGTGGTGGCACAGGGGTGATTTGGTGATGGGAAACCCGTGGGGATTACAATTGAGATAAAAAAAAAATGTGCAAAATGATGTAAAAATAAACTTTTTAATAAATAAAAAAAAACAGCATTTGCCAACCAAATGAAGCACATAATGAATCCTCTATTATTTTGGACTACCTTTAAAATCTGAATAAACAAAATTCCTTCTCCCTTTAAATGTAAACACATGTTTACATTTCAATGTTTGGCCAATTATTATTATGCAATCTCATATTAAAAACCTTTCAACATTAAGGCCCTCCCTGGTGGCGCAGTGGGTTAAAGCACAGCACTGAGAATCTAAAGCCGCTTCCGCATGAGTTCGATTCCCGCCTGCCCCGGAGGTGACCACATGGCGTGGCGGACCTCTCCTGGCCCGCCCGCTGCTCCCCTCAGCAGTGTACTTCGTAGATCTGCCTGTTCTGCTCCCCGCTCTGTCTCTGGTGAGGCCTCTCGCCACCCCTGAGCCTCTGGCCTGTACCCCAGTTCTGTGTGAACAAATAAATAAATCTTTAAAAAAAAAAAAAAAAAAAACCTTTCAACATTAATAATATAACATAACACATCATGGTACATTATGCTACCAATGAAATAAGTCAGCCAATCAAAGACAAATACTGCATAATTCCACTAATAAGAATCTAAAACAGGGCCCCTCCCTGGAGGTGCAGCGGGTTAAAGCACAGAACTAAGAAGCCAGAGCCACTTGCTCTGGAGGTAACCACATGGCGAGGCAGACCTCTCCTGACCTGCCCGCTGCTCCCCTCAGCAGTGTACTTCATGAGTCTGCCTGTTCTGCTCCCTGCTCTGTCTCTGATGAATCCTGTCACCGCACCTGCGCCTTTGGCCTGTACCCCAGTTCTGTATGTACAAATAAATAAATCTTTAAAAAACAAAATCTAAAACAGTCGAATTTTAGAATCAAAGAACAGGATGGTGGTTGGCAGGGGCTGTGGGAAAGGCAATAGGGGAACAGCAATCAAGAAACAGAATTTCAGCCATGCAAAATGAATAAGCTCTAGTGAGCTATTTAACAATATTAAACTAATATATTATGCAATTAAAAATTTTAGAAAGTATATTTCATGTTAAAGGTTCTTCACACAATAAAATCTGAAACAAGAAATTAACAGTGTTATGAGTAAAATAAAATGAAGTGAAATAAAATACTATGTACAAATAACTAGCTGGAACTAAAAATGTCAAAGCCTGTATATATACAAAAATGCAAGTTCACCTCTAAAGTATTTGTTTCTACTTATTAAGTGTAAACTAGACTATTATGTGATCCACGTCTGGATCTGTATAATGTATTTAATACATTACACAATGCAGATCTGTGGGTCCTTGCAAGTACCTGACACAAAGTAAGCGTAAATTTCTAGATGAAGGACTAAGTCGGGTCACTTATGGAATGTGGAATGTATTTATTTCTAGGCGCATAAGGATTTTGTTGAAATATCTAGAGAAATTCACTTTCACTTGATTTGCCTCAAGCTCATCTTTAAAAATAAGGACGTTAGGTTAAGTGATCTTTTGCAGCACCTTTTAGATTTTACACTTCTATGATTTGCTTACTTTGTGGTATTATTACACCTGGGCTTCTGAGTCAGTATAAACCTGTATTCAGGTCCTGGTTTTGTTACTAGAAAAACAGGAAAACTACTTATCTCTTTAAACCTTAGTTTCCTTATATATAAAATTCAGATAAACAATTCCTTCTTCAGAGCATTATGAAATATAATTCACATAGCGCACAGACCTGCAACTAAACAAATGTTAGTCCCTTCCCCTGATAGTCTAGGCAACAAAAACAATGCTAGTAAAACTATTAAAGTATTACTGAATAATAATTGCATTATTAATATTAAATAACATAACAATGAGTATTTTAATATTTTGTAACTCATGATTCTTTGGATTAAGAATGTAAATGTACCCACTTCTGACAAAGCTGGTTAAAAAGGACTTTAGGAGAAAGTGGCCCCTTTTCAGTCTCCTTCATGCTTTGAAGAAACAGAAACAAGGCTGAAGTCAAAGGTCCGGGGCTTGCAAGTTCCACCACTAGAGGGTCCTTTAAAAAGAAGATCAACTCAAAGTCAGAAATAAAACATTAAACATCTAAGAGCTATACATTATTGCTTCAAGTATATTAACCAATTTAATCCCCTAATTTATAAACTGAAAAAAGGAAAACTGAATTACATTTCTTATCTTGAAAACACAGGTATTCTCATTTTCTGTCCTTTTTCTAAACTATGTCTTAGGATGAAATCACCATTATTTACTTGCTTATAACTCTTTTCTAAATGTGTTCTCCAAAGGTAAAGTTACTCATCTACTTGATATTGCACATCTTCACAAATAATTATAAATACTATTTATGGGCCCTCTCTGGTGGCACAGTGGGTTAAAGCACAGCACTAAGAAGCTAAAGCCACTTCAGTATGAGTTCGATCCCCACCCGGGAGGTGACCACATGGCGCCTCTCCTGATCCACCTGCTGCTCCCTCAACAGTGTATTTCATTGGTAAGCCTGTTCTACTCCCCATTCTGTCTCTGGTGAATCCACTCACTGCCCTTGCACCTCTGGCCTGTACCCCAGTTCTGTATGCATAAATAAACAAATCTTTAAAAACAAATAAGTAAATAAATAAATACTATTTACTAGCAAAAACCCTACACCATACACTCCCCAAGTACTTTACTAATAAACAATGTGAGATTATGTCTCAAGATTGATATACCATCTCCTTCTGTTGAAGGTGAGAAAATTTAACCAAAAAAGCTAAAATTCTGTGAAGGATCAATGCACTTTATTCTAACATATTTTCCACACCAAGTGTTGCTTTCTAAAACGTTACTTTCACCAGTAGCCCTCTCTTCCTTACAGACAATGAGTAAAAAGCAGATTCTAGAATTACCTTGGGACATTAGCAAATATTGTGTTGTAACACAATTTTCTAATCTACTGTCTTTTTCATGTAACATATATATACCATAAAAACTATACTTAAAAATGAAATACTTAGAATACTTAGAAAGGACAGACTATAATTTCCCCTATCTTACAAATGTCAAAAGTGTTTTTTGAAAAGCTAACTGAATTTAAAAGTACCTCAAGGTCAAAAGCAGTTTAAAAACCCAGTCACTCCCAACTAAAATGTTTTTAAACAAAGTTAGGAAACCTTCCAAATTAAATAAAGGAATGATCTTAGTTTTAAAAAGTATCCTTAAACCTTCAAAACAAAAGTAAGTCTGCAGGTGAGAATGCAATATGGATGAACCTCTTGACAGGAAAAAGCCAAATGAAAGAGGGCAGATTGTATGATTTCATTTACATAGACTAGAAAAGGCAAAACCCATCTGTCTTGTTAGAGCCAGATTAGTATCTATCTGTCCTTGTGGGACAGGGAGGTAATGGCTGAAAGGGATCCTGAAGGGCGCCTCTAGATACTGATTATGTTATTTCTTGAGTAAAGTGTTAGTTTCAGTTCAATTTGTGAAAACTTATGATGCGCACTTCTCTGTATGTACACTTTAATAGTTTAAAAAGTAAGCGTACTGCTGATATGCATATAGATATCAACAAATTCATTCCAACAAATAAGAATATATCACAACTAAGTGGAGTTTGTTCCAGTAATACACAATAACATTAACATTTGAAAATAGTCAATGTAATTTACCATGTTAACAGAGAATAAAGAAAAATCTGAGAATGTCAATAGTTGTAGGAATAGTATTTGACAAAATTCAACATCCATTTATGATAAATCTCTCAGAATACTAGAAATAGAAGGGAAAGTCTTCCACTTTAAAACGAACACCTATGAAAACCTGTGGTTAAGTTCATTCTTAAAAATAGTGGAAGATTGTCTCTCCTCTGCTTTTGGAATTAATACAAAGAGATCTGCTATCATTACTTCTATTCAACATGTTACCAAGGTTCAAGTCACAATAAAGAAAAAAAAAATATCATGCAGATTACAAAGTTAAACTGGTGATTCAAAAAAACAATGATCTACATACTGTTTGTTCTACAGCTCAGGTCAACTCTATATGCTAAAATTCTGTGACATCAAACTAAAGAGTTCCACTATAATACCTAATTGCCAGACAGCAACCTTGAGATATAGCGCCACATGTGAAATACTTAAACTTAATATCCAATCACATTTAACAGAAATGTTTTCCAATAACTAAATATTAATTTCCATTTAGTAAAGGGCACTGGGATCTACCATAAAAACTTTAAGGGGCTGGGCCTTCCCTGGTGGCACAACAGGTTAAAATCATCACAGGCACTATAGCATTTCATTCCCTACCCAGGGAGGTGACCCACATGGCATGGCAGACCTCTCCTGTCTCACCCACAGCTTCCCTCAGCAGTGTATTTCAGTTGATCTCCCTGTCCTGGTCCCCACTCTGGTGAATCTTCTCACTCCCCTGCACCTCTGGCCTGCATCCCAGTTTCTGTATATATAATCTTTTTTTTTTAATCCTAGGAGTAGGTCCCTGAAAATCTTCACACACTATTAAAATTAAATGTAGCTTTAAAGAATAAAAATGCTCTACTTATGTAAACTAGGAAAAAAAGAATGACAGCTCCTAGCAACATCAGTGGTACATCAGAAAAGAGATATTAGTCAGGTAGTTACATTTCTTACCAACTGACAATCTGAAGAAGGAAAGATCTTGAATTTTGTCCCATTTTCTTTGATCTCATTAATCAGTTCAGTAAGAATGTAAGACTGTGCCAAGTTCTAAAAGAAAACAAAGACGCACCTGATTTTATAGGATAAAAACTCTCTTAAAGTTTCAAATGTCATCTAGGATAGTAGAAAAATTTAAGCATTTAAAAATTTAATTGAGTACATCTTGTATTTAATAAACATCACAACTGCTGATCTAGCTATGGTAAAATACAAGGAAGACGTCTCAGAAGCACTGTGGAACAAGAGAGTAAATGTATATATATAATGAAGAAAAAAAAAGGTAAGAGAAATGTCTAGAAAAACATTTTAAATAATTTTTTACATTTTACAAAGCTTACTGAGTGTTCTTACCTGTAAGACCGCATTAAAAAAGCAAGTATTTCCCAAATTTGTAATTCCTTTCACAGTTGTTACACTGCTGCCTTTTTTTCCCTTCTTTTTTTCACCTAGTTCACATTTTTCTTCACAAAGTTTTATGATTCGAGAAACTGCATCTAAGTTAAAGAACATATAGCTGGTATGAAAATTAAATATATGTAGTCTAAAATTAAATATTTCCACCTGAATCAGTGTCCCTGACTGGCAAGAATATAAACAAATGCCTCTGACTTTGTACCTCACTGCAAATACAATTATAATTAATTTAAACATGCAAGTGCTGGACATCACATTCCAGAATAAATTTCCTTTTTTCTTTTTCCCTTATTTATTTTTACATCATTCTTCATTTTTATCTCAATTATAATCCCCATGGGTTCCCACCACCAATTCACACATGGTGTGAATTGTCCCATGCCCTTTTCCCACCCATTTTTATCCTATCCCCTTTTTCCCCATACCATGTCTCTGGTTTTTATTTGTTTGTTGTTCTCATTTTTACTTAATTACATTTGCTTCTCTTCCCCCCCCCCCTCCCTGATCCTGCTATGAGTGAAACCATCCGGTATCTTTCTTTCTTTCTGGCTTATTTCACTAAGCATGATCCCTTCCAGCTCCATCCATGTTGCTGCAAAAGCCATGAGTTTATCTTTGCTGAGTAATAGTCCACTGTGTATATGTATATCTTTTTAATCCAGACATCTGTTTTTGGGCATTTGGGTTGATTACATGTCTTCCATATTGTAAATAGTGCAGCAATAAACATGGGGGTGCAGGTGTCCTTCTGAATGGATGTTGTTGTGTCCTTTGGGTAGATACCTAGTAGTGGGATTGCTGGATCATATGAAACCTCCAAACAGTTTTCCATAGTGGTTGTACCAGTTTGTATTCCCACCAGCAGTGTAGGAGAGTTCCTTTTTCTCCACATCCTTGCCAACATTTGTTGTTGCTACTTGTTTTAATATGTGTCATTCTCACTGGTGTGAGATGGTATCTCATTGTGGTTTTAATTTGTATTTCCCTTACAGAGTAAATTTCTAATGAATAAAATATAAAAGAATAAACTTCTTAAAAGTAGAAAAGATCCAGATCTTGGTTTCTAAATATCATTTTTCAATAAAAGAAATAAAGAATCCTTGAAGAAAATGCTGATTCTTAGAATCAAGTAGAGCTACTAACATGGGATTTTCATAAAGACAAAAACTAGCTTCTATTTGCTAAGTACCTGGCATGGTAAGCACTGTGTGTCTGCAAAACAGCCCAGAAAGACCCAAAAATAATGTTATTTGTAACAAAATCCATACCCTCAGGATCTGTCCTTTATGCCCATTGTTTATCTGCTTCCATTTTTTTTCTTTTTATTCATTTCTGGTACTTTTATGTTTTCCTCGCTTATCTCTTATTTATAATTAGATTTTTCTAAATCATTAGTATACATTTTGCTTTTTATAGTGGTTTTGTGATTTTTGTGATTTCTTGGCTTTTCATAGCATGTGGAAACATATCATATAAGGAAAATGAACTGGTAGTTTCTTGGGTTTTCTCCTTTTTTCATTAAACAAATAAATTATATGGAAAATATTTTTCTTCCAAATCTGTCTAACTTTTATTCTTTGAGGCAATATTTTTTCATAAACCCAATTACCTGTTTATCCCCTTTATTTCTATTTGCTTTATTCTTTAAAGCTTGTTGACTGTTTTGGATGTCTGTTGTCTAGCTACTAGAGAATAATTTTCAATTAATAACCCCAGAATTCTGAGTCAATGCAGAAAAGGACTTGCAAGATAGAACTCTTCTACTGTCCTTCAGCTATGAAAACAAGTGATAAGAAATAAACCCCATGACAGAGCTTGGGGACAAAGGCTGGCATAATTAATGGAGCAGATCACTGAAATGCAGAGTCCAGGAACAGAGAAAAGGAAAATCAGGAAAGACAATCAAGTTTCAAATATGTAACTAGAATGTAAAAGCAAATAAAAAAGCCTGTAAGTCTTTAAGAAGCACTATACACCGAGAAACTGGATAAGCATCTGTTTGGTTTGCATATGAGAGCCACCACTTAATTATATCTGAGGTGCCAATTAGAGCCCAGAATAGGGAGGTTTCAGGCTCTAGTCATAGCTGTTGCCACTTCATGGTTTCATGATGATTTTTAAGACATTTAAGAAAAAAGGATAATTTAAACCAAGCACTGCTCCATTTTTTTAATAAGTGGGTTACTCTAATTTTACATTCATAAAATTCAGTCCCAGAACAATAACTGATTTGCCCAAGATTACAATGACTATCTTTTGATTATAAATCCACTGTCATTTTATCGATGCTTATAAAATATCATTTTGTAGATCTGATATATGCAAATCTTAAGCATTTCCTTCAGTTAACATTCTCAATGAAGGTTACCATAGAGTTTGACCTTATTGACAAGAAAAAGTGGTTGAGGAACAAACTAAATAGATTGTCTTTACTATTAAGTAAAAAAAAGTGTATATGCACTTCACCTGGAATAATTCTCCCAGAAATAAATATTTTAATCATACAAGAACAAATAGCACTTTAAAAACATTAACATGCAGATCATTTATGTATCTGTGTACCACATTTACCCATCCGATTTCAAAACACCTGGGATGGCATCCTAAAGTAAACAATGTTCATAAGACCATCTGGACAACACTGCAGGCAAAAAATAAGCATAAACATATGGAAAAACAGATTTTACTCTGCCCTTCAGCAGGAAGGGATGACAAATGCTGAACCTAGATGTAACCACGCTTCACTGTGCGATGCTTTTCAGCACCACCTGGCTCTCCATGCACAGCCACCAAATATGGACGACACTGCCAGAACGAACACATCCACAAGGCAATGGCAATAAAAATAGTTTATTTCATGGTTAAATAGCCACTTCACACAAGTGGCAAAGATCTGCTGACTTTTACACAAAAGTCATGCTTGGAGCAAATATTCAAAACTAATTATGTTAGTTGACTTATACAGATCAGATAATCTTGAAAACATTTTCAAAACATGATTTAAATGCTTTCTTTAAAGTACAAATTTTTCAATTTCTATGTAACACATTTATAAAATGTAACAATTCAAATTCAATTGATTTATCAAATGCCTATTGTGTGTCTGGGACTATATGGACCACTAAATGTATTTATACTTAACTGCTTAAGACTTATGACTACAGTATAAGGAGCTGATATACAGTGAACAGCATGATGATAGTAAAATCCATGATAACATCTTAGTAAAATTTTTAGAAATTAAGTTTAAAAAAACACCTCCAACTATGATAGTAGTTTAAAACTAAGGTCTTTGATTCAAGTGTATTATTTGACACACAAATAATATGTGTACTTTAATAAAAAGCAATTTACTACTTTTTTTTTTTTAAAGATTTATTTATTTGTACATACAGAACTGGGGTACAGGCCAGAGGCTCAGGGGCGGTGAGAGACTTCACCAGAGACAGAGTGGGGAACAGAACAGGCAGATCAACGAAGTACACTGCTGAGGGGAGCAGCGGGCGGGTCAGGAGAGGTCTGCCACGCCATGTGGATCTCCTCCGGGGCAGGCGGGAATTGAACTCATGGGGAAGTGGCTTTAGCTTCGTAGTGCAGTGCTTTAACCCGCTGTGCCACCAGGGAGGGCCCTCAATTTACTACTTTTAATAAATATCTTTGATCATTTTGTTTTTAGAGAAAATAAAGTTTTCTTAATGGGGCAGTACAAAGATTTTAGATAATATTCACTTTAACAACTTTTTCTTTATAAACATAAAACCAACTCCACTAAGGACTGAACTTCAAGATCTCCTGAAGTATAGTTAAGAGGACAATGTGGCTACAGCAATAATAAAAAATTATACAAAATTTTGACTTTTAATCATTTGTTTTGTGCTCAAATTTTACCGGAACCTGTGAAATACTTATAATTAGAAAGAAAAATCCAGAATTTCACTGCTACTTTAAAAGAGATTTACTTATCTCATTTAGATTCCTTACATTACTAACAGCGTCATCAGCCATTACACTTACATAATAAAATAACAGACCACAAATGCAAAGAACAGAGAGAAAATCTGAGGTATTATTATATAGAATTACTAATTTTTATCTCTGTAGTTTACCTTTAAGTTTATCATCTGAATAAGCAAAGTACTGCTGTTTATTTGAGAAGACCTGATAAGTTCTGCACATACCTAAGGTCTTGAAAGACTGAAAACTGTTGAAGCCATAGCAAAGCAAAACATAACAGAACACAGTTTTCAACTAGGCAAAGACTATCTAAAGAGTCACCTTAAGTACCATAAAGTTTTGTACAGAAAGTATGAGTAATACTTAAGGACCCTCTGCTTATCTTTTTTAAACCAAGCTTAAAGATACTAACTCATAGAGAAAAAAAACCCTACAGCCCCAGGAAATTTTAAGTAATATGCTTATAATCCTGAAGTATGAAAGACTTTCAAAGCATTCTCTAGACACTGAAAAAATATTACAGCAGAAGAATGACTGTTTAAGCAATAGTAATACTGAAAACATCACTACCTCCCAAAACCATAAGCAAAGTTATATAGAGAAAAATGGGTATTCTTATCAACTGACACATTTTTTATCTTCCTGGAGGACAGTTTTACATCAATAATCCAAATTTAAGACAGACTCATACATTGGCCAGAAATCCCAAAATATTTTACTTAGCAAAAATAAAAAACTGCACAGAAATGCAGTTTCACTTATCACAACAGATAATTGGACGTGTTGCAAGTAACAAGTTGATGTCGCTTTTCTTACAATTGCGTTGGCTCAAACAGAGGGGGACATTTCAAATTTCCTACAGGCACAGGGTAAGTGAACTTGCTTTGCGTTTGTTTACTTAAATAAAGTTTGAAAGCATCACCTCTGATAATTGTTTCCACTGAAGAGATGATAGAATAACAGTGCTAAAGATACAAACCCAGGCAATAAAGCCTCAGAATCTAAACACTTAGCCATTATGACAATCTGTTATAATGGGAAAGATTAATAAGTTTAATAATTTAAGACATTAAAGAAATACTAGTAGTGATATATGGCCCTCCCTGGTGGCGCAGCGGGTTAAAGC